AAGATTTTGCATATTGTTTGGCAGAAGGAAAAAAAGATGTAGGAAAGAAATAGAGAAAGTTTTGATTAGTAGGTTGATAGAGCACAGTGTTAAATTGGAAGGGAAATGTTCAAATGATTCCAGTTCTTCTCAGTTATAGTTACGTGCCGTACCAGTCATTTCCACTGGATTTCTTTTATTATTATTATTGTTATTTTACTTCTTTTTATCATTATCATTTTATGATACAGTTCATTGGCCCTGGGATTTCCCTTACGCCCAATCCCCTCCCCTCTCACGGAGTTCCCCTATATCCTTACTGTAGTACAGTTCTTCATACACAGTCTCGTGTCCATCGTTGTGGCGTGGACAGTGGCAGAGAGTCCAGCATCCTATTGTCAAGACAGAGTAACCAGTTTCATTGGGAGTCCATTTTTGTCTGAAGTAGACATGCATACTGCATTGTATCTTCACATCTGGATATGGTAGTCTCTATTACACAGTTACTATACATCCCCTTAAATGAAAAGCTGCAAAACAAAATCAACAACAGGAAGAAAAAATAAAAAAGAAATTAACAACACCATGAATTTGACAAAATAATTTTAAGCTTATTTCTGAAAGAGTTAGTGTATTTTTTTTTGCCATAATCTATGTGACTGGAAGATAGGTGCTAGAAATGAATTAATTCTTTCTTGGGGCATTTGGAGTTAAGGCAGTCATTTGAGGCTAGAACTGTAAACCAAGGAGGTATGAACTGGGATCTAATGATTGGAGAAGCAGAGAAGATCGTTCCTTGGAAAGAGGAAAACAGCAAATGCGAAGAGACTGAGATATGGAAGAGATGCCAGGGGAGTCTGGTGGCTTCCTGTCCGAAGGTAGTGCTGTTACTGTCTTTGGCTCTGTTTTATCCTAGCCTTAGAATGAATCCTCCTGGGCCCAGTGCAGTAGCCTAGCAGTTGAAGTCCTCACCTTGACCGCGCCAGGATCCAATATGGGCACCAGTTATAATCCCGGTAGCTCCACTTCCCATCCAGCTCCCTGCCTGTGGCCTGGGAAAGCAGTCGAAGACAGCCCAAAGCCTTGGGACCCTGCACCCATGTGGGAGACCCAGACGAGGCTCCTGGCTTCAGATTGGCGCAACTGCAGCCGTTGCGGCTGCTTGGGGAGTGAACCATCAGACACAACATCTTCCTCTCTGTCTCTCCTCCTCTGTATATCTGCCTTCCCAATAAAAATAAAATACATCTTTAAAAAAATTGAATCCTCCTTTATTTGTCAGCCTATTATAAGCTAGTTTATTTGCTGGAAACCAAAGCGTTTTAGATGCTCGTAATATAGCAAAGGATAAAGCAAGCCAAGACCCTGCCTCTAGGACCTTCAGTATTACCAGGAGAAAAAAATCAGCTGCAAAAAAGTCAATATAAGCTCGATCATATTGAGTCTTACTGTGAAAAATGAGGCAGGTGGGAGGGACCTAGAGGGTAGAGTGGTTGGGTGCATTTGTGTTGGCAGTGATGGGTTTTCTGTGAAGGCAGCAGCTGAACAGGTGTACGGGAGCCAGCAGTGATGGCCCAGGTGGGGCAGGTGTTAAAGACATTGTGTTCAAGGAACATCCAGGAGGCTTTCAGACAGCTGGGGCAGGGTGAATGAGAGAGGGAAATGAAGTCAGATACACAAGGTGGGGTCTCCCTTCTGCCCACCGAGTGTGTGTCTGTGTCTAAGAGATAGCGGTTGCATCCGTGGTCAAGATGGAGAGCTTAGTTGGCTGAGGACTGTGAGCATGAGTGGTGCTTACTGCAAGGGCTCACTGGTTGCTGTGGTTAGACTAGACGGAGAGTGGGCAAAGACAGCAGAATGGAGGCCAGATGAGAGATGATGGTGGCATGGACCGAGCAGTGAAAGTAGGTCACAATCATATCTTTTTTAAAAAAAGATTGATTCATTTTTATTCAAAAGGCAGATTCACAGGAGGAGAGGCAGAGAGAGAAAGATCTTCCATCTGCTGATTCACTCTCTAAATGGCTGCAGTGGCGGAAGCTTCCTCTGGATCTTCCACATGGGTGCAGGGGCCAAGGGACTTGAGGCATCCTTCTCTGCTTTCCCAGGCCACAAACACAAAGCTGGATAAGAAGTGAGACAGTTGGGGCTCCAGCCAGCACCCGTAAGGGATGCCAGTGCTTGCAGTTGGAGGATTAGTATGCTGTGTCACCATGCTAGCACCAGTCAGAAATTTTTTTTTAAATAATTGACATGATTTCCAGTAAATAAGATGGGGAAAGATATGAAATGCAAGTTAAAGGTGATAGCCAGGAGCTGGCATTATGGCGTAGCAGGTAAAACTGCTGCCTGTGACACCAGCATCCCATATGTGTGCCAGTTTGCCTCCATAGCCCTGACTAGGCCACTTCTTACCCAGTTCCCTCTAACGGAGGGGTAAAAGCAGACCACTGCCACCCACATGGGAGACCTGGAGAAAACTCCTGGCTCCCAGCTTTAGACTGAGCCAGTTCTTGACCTTGAGGTCACTGGCGGGAATGAACCAGCAGATGGAGGGTCTCTGTAACCCTTCCTCCCTCCCTCATTCTGCCTCTTAAAAAAAAAAAAACAAGCAAGCAAAACAGATTTTTTAACAAACAATTGCAAGGAGAGATTGTCATGTACTGAATAAGGAGGGGTTGGCGTGGGGCAGGGACAGGTTGGAAGCAGTCAGTGGGTCACGCTGTTTCTGCTCCCCAGATGGGGTGCCTGCCAGTGCCCTGGGAACTGCTGCCAAGTGTCCCTTCCCGATTCCCCGCCAGTCGACCTGGAATGCTGTGACTCCGGATTTCTCTTCTGTCTTCTCGCTGCCACCCTCCACAGAACCTTTCAGAATAATCCAGGTCTCCGTTTACTAAATAAATAACTTAAAGCTCTAGTCATAATTGCTATCTCACTTTGAGTTTCAGAATGACCCAAAAGGAATTAGCATTTCACTATTACTAAAGGTAGATTAAACCCAGGCAGGTGTTACACTACTGGGAGAAAAGCAGCCATAGCCTTTCGATAATGCCAAATTTATGATAACTGTACCAGTGTGCCAGCATAGTTGCGTATTCTAATTCTTTTAAAAGATACATGGGGAAGATGACAAACACTGGCCTGGGACATGCCACCCCGGTCCCCTAGGGCAGGGACACTGCAGATTGCCCAAGGAAGGGGCCTTGGAATGGGAGCAGCTGAGGGCATGTTTGACAGGGAAGAAATTACTTCTGGGGTCTTCCATGGATTGGGCCACTGCCCTTGCAGGAATACAAGAGAGCTGAGATGAGGTGGTGTCGAGGAGTGGAGCCAGAGGGCATGTCTGAGTCAGGCCAAGGCTTCCTCCCAGGTGGGAGACTTGGGGTGGGCTAAATAGCATGGCTTACTGCACACTGATACTTGGAAAAGCTGGGGCTGGGTGCATGCCTGGCTGGGTTAGGGCACAGTACCTGCCTGCGAGTGTTAGAGCAGGAGGTGGCTGACATCACGCTGCACCACAGCACCCACCAGAACATGAGAGAACCAGATCTAGGAGCAGATTCTGTAACGGACTTAGGGCTTGCCTCTGAGGGACTGCAGCACTCGCTGGTTTGTGTGACAGCTAGGAGTGGTGACAGGCTGGACCCCAGGACTTACCTGACATGCTAGGGAGCTGAGCCTGCGAGGAAGCTGGGCTAGGCCACAGCAGCATCTGCTGGCACATGCAAAGGGATTGAGGGAAGACTGTGCCCAGCAGGGCTGCAGCATCTGCCAGCATGTGTGATACCTAGGGATGGGGCATGCCTGGTAGGGGACTTGGGGAACTCTCCTGCTAGGCTGCAGCCCATGCTGCGGAACACAAGAACTGGGAATGGACCATTCCTATCAGGGCCGAGGCACCCGCCAGCATGCATGATACAGCTCATGCTGGGAAGCACAAGAACCGGGACTGGGGATAGACCAGGCCAAGAAGAGCCGCAGCACTGGTCAGCATCTGTGTGGAGGCTGGGCCAGGCCAGGCCGTAGTAGATGCTGGCATGCATGACACCCAGAACAGAGTGAGCCATACGCAGTTTATGAAGAGAGCTGGTTGTGGTGCAGGCCAGACCAGGCTAGGCCACAGCGCATGCTGCCACACACACAAACTGGGATTGGGGGTGGGCCTGGTGGGGATTTTGAGGAGTCACCCCAACTAGGCTGTGATAATCACTGGTGTGTGTGTGTGAAGACTAGGCCTGTTGCAGGCTGAGCTAGGCTATGCCAAAGCAGCATCAGTTCTCATGAGAGGTGGGATTGGAGGCAAGCTGTCCAAGCAGCTGCATCCACCACTGTATGCATTGGCTGGTACAGGTGACAGACCATACCTGACCTGTGCTGGCTGGTGCACATAAGAGTCAAGTCTGAGGTCACCTTGGGTGAATTCTTGAGGAATTCCTTAACTCGATCAGTGGACTCAAACACCAGCCACAGGGAAAACCACAATCTATGTGGTCAGACCTTGGAGTGCATGCATCAGGCTGGGCTCCTCAGTTGCCGATGCCTGTACAGTAGACAGCATGCTCAGATGTACACAGGGGACATGCTAGCCAACTCATCTAGGCCAGTCGAGGACATCAAGTGCCTCGTCAGAGGATAGAAAGAAGAACAGGATGGACCACTCTCCTGGCCAAGATTTGCCACATGTTCTTAGGCCTGGGGATGCACTAAGGTAGACCTGATCAGTCAGTAGACCTTGGGAAGATTTTCTCAGCCTGCATACAATGAAGCTGACAGCATTTCAGAACTACCAAAATCACTCAATTAACATCCTCAGAATGCTCTTCCCCACATTGGGGTCTCTAAGGCGCATCAAAGGACTGTCCCCGTCCCTCAGTGCTGATAGACTTTGACGGCAAGGAGTGGCTCCCTATACTCTCTCTCCTTCCCCTTTCAAAAAAAATGGGAACATTAAAAGGAAAATTAAATTTTAATAGGTAAATAGAAGATTGAATCAAACCTAATCTCCCTCTGTCTTGTCTCAGTTTTATTTGGTAGTGGCTGAAGTAACAGGTTGGAAGATGAGTGAATTGGAGCAGTTGAGGCAGGAGGCAGAACAGCTGCGCAATCAGATCCAGGTAAGACTGTTTCCATTTTGCAATGTTTACACTTGTATTTACTATCAGCCATGTACAACATTTGCTCATTAGTTTGTCAATGTGCATATAAAATCCTTTCTAGGGCCAGCCAAGATTTATGTGTTTTTAACATGCTTCTATATAACTCTCCCAAACTCATTCCTACCCCATTCCTGTGTGGATGAAGGGCTCTTGTGTTCCTGCAAAGTCAGGAGTCTCTCTCTGACTGCAGCTGTGAGACAGACTCTTTCCCTCCTCACTGCCCCAGAACCCTAGATTTCGGGTGCAATATTACCAGGCAGTCACACTAGGAACTTATGAATCTCTAGAATGTTTGATTACAGAAACATTGAAACTATTAGTGACAAAATCAAGACACTCTGACATCTTTTGCCTTTGGAAATCAAAACAGTAATGAGGATGAGCTACAGCTCTAGCAGAATGGAGTTGTGTAGAACTTCACACCATAATAGGATGGGGAAGAGCTGCCAAGTGCACTGATGCAACAGCCTGCGAGAAGGTGCTGGGGAAGCGGCCTGCAGCTGTAAATCTCATGCAGAGTAGAGAGCATTGTGGAAGGGCCAGTGCAGGCAGCCCTTCCCTGCCACCACGGAGCAGAAGCTTCCTCGGGCTCTGCTGGTACTGAGGACTGCTAAGGAAGGCAGGTGCTGAGAGTGACATGACAAAGACATTCCATCTGGGAGGAGCTTCTGAGTGAGCAGGTTTAAGGCAGACTGGTGATGGCAGCCTGGCAGCTGTCTGCTTCGTACTCAGAGAAGCGAAAGCTAAAATAGGGAGCTGGGCACTGGGCAGGGAGACTCTAAAACCAAGCCAGCTGTGATCCTTTTTCAAGGGGATGCTCTCACAAGAGCTGTTTCCAAAGAACTTGCTTAAGTGAAAAAATAAAATCTGAGTAGAGAGAATGCAAGAAAAAAGAAAGGGGCAGGAAAAGCAATGGCTTCGGGAAGAAAGCTCACCAGAAAAGTGTTGATTTCAAGTGGAGTAAAGTCATAGCCAGACTTACTGCGAGGGTTCCAAGGAAGTCCGCATTCAGATGGGAATAGTGCGAAGTGGGACATTTTAAAGAGCGAGACTCTCAGGAGTGAGCCTTGACATCATTCTTCATGACCTTGGCTTAGGTAAATATGGCCAAAAGTACAAACAACAAAGGGAAGGTAGACAAATTGGACTTCAGCATAATTCAAAACTTGGTGTCAAAAGACAGTAGCAAGAAATGAAGACAGCTCATAGCACAAGAGAAAATATATACAAATCACACATCTAAGAAGGATCTAGCATGTAGTATGTACAAAGAACTCCTATAACTGAACAAGAAAGCTTAATTTAAATATTCCCATAGGTTTTGCATACATACTCTTCCAATATAGATACATGTACAATGTATGTGTGAAGGGTCTTTCAAATGCTTCTGGGAAGTGTGTATTATAAAATTATGGATTCTTTTTTAAAGAGATTTTTATTTTCATTACAAAGATATACAGAGAGGAGGAGAGACAGAGAGGAAGATCTTCTGTCCGATGATTCACTCCCCAAGTGAGCTCAACGGCCGATTCTATGCTGAGCTGCAGCCAGGAGCCAGGAACTTCCTCCAGGTTTCCCATGTGGGTGCAGGGTCCCAAGGTTTTGGACCGACCTCGACTGCTTTCCCAGGCCACAAGCAGGGAGCTGGATGGGAAGCAGGGCCACTAGGATTAGAACTGGTGCCCATGTGGGATCCTGGTGCGTTCAAGGCGAGGACTTTAACCACTATGCTATCGTGCCAGGCCCAAAATTATGGATTTCAAATTCACTTTTAGTTCTGTTTTGTCACAAACTTTTTTAAGTACCCTGGACACTGAAAAGAATTAAAAATCCAGGTGTACACACAAAAGCCAGTATATGAATGTCCATAGCATCATTATTCATAATAGCCCAAAATGGAAATAACACAAAGTTCCATCTCCTTTCATCGACAGACTGAATGTGCTGTATCATGCAGTAGAATATTAATCATCATAGAGAGGAATGAAGAGGTACTGACATGTGCCAGAATTGGGGTGGGCCTAGAACGACCATGCTTAGCCAAAGAAGCAATCCTGGAAGGACCGCATGGTGGGACTCCCAACTTTACAAAATGCCAGGCTCTGGAGGAAGAACATGAGTCAGTGATACTAACGGGGCGGTGGTAGTGGGAGGTGGAGAGAACAGGAATCCGTGGGGTGCTGAGTTTATTTCTTGGTGTGATGGGAATGTTTTATTACGTGTGTGTATGTATGTTAGCCAGATGTTTATTTGTTCATCTCTTGCCTTTGAAGTATTCCTTGATGAAATCCTTGGCTTGAGACTCTTAGCCATAGTCCTTAAAGACTGCACAGCTGCAGCCAGCCCCTTGACGGGGCTTCCCCTCAGTTTATTTTACAGAGGCCTACTGTCATTCCCCATATTTCTTATCATCATCCTTAGGAAGTCTGATCTGGTGAACAGCTCACAGGGCTCCACCAGTTTGACACACATAGGCTCATCACAGTTGGATGTAGGCAGGCCCAGGGGGTGTGGCACTTGTCTAAGGCTCTAGGTCTTCAGGGATGCCCGCGCCAGGCCGTGGTGGATGAGGGCGGTCTTCAGTACCTTTTGTGAAGCAGCGTTCCTGTCCACTGCACCTCCAGCAGCGATGCCTTCCTCAGCCATAATATGGTGGGTTATGAGTGAAGCCAAAAAGATTTTTTTCATATTTATTTATTTTTATTGGAAAGTCAGATTTGCAGAAAGAAGGAGAGACAGACAGAAAGGTCTTCTGTCCACAGCTGGTTCCCTCCTCCAGGGGCCACAATGGCCGGAACTGAGCCGATCTGAACCCAGGAGCCAGGAGCAGCTTCTGAGTCTCCCAAGCAAGGTCCCAAGGCTTGGAGCCATCCTTCACTGCTTTCCCAGGCCACAAGCAGGGAGCTGGAAGGGAAGTGGAGCAGTTGGGATATGAAGCAGTGCCTGTATGGGATCCCTGCACATGCGCTAGGCTGCTGCGACAGGCCTGTGGAGTGAGTCTTGAATGCACTTGGGGCTCACCTCCGCAGCGACAGCCGAGAAAGGAGAATGCTTTCGTTAGATAATGACATTGGGTACACAACGGTATAAATGTACTCAAAAGCACTGACTTACATGCTTCCAGTTTTATGGGAATTTATTTCAATAAAAATGGAAAAACAAAGTGTGATATAGTGTTTATTTGTAAGTTGACATTTTGAGAAGAAAATGTTTATTCCTATCCAGAGGTTCAGATCTCATTGTGTTGTAATCGGCTTCCTCTATTTCAGGATGCCAGGAAAGCGTGTAACGATGCAACACTGGTGCAGGTAAAGTGTTTGTGTTTGCAACTGGATACCAATATAAATTACATTCAGATTCTTTTGATTAATACTTATTTAGCAATAATAAAATAAAGCATATGAAAACATTTTATGATTTGTCATATGCTATACAGAGTATGTATTTTTTTAAAAATTGTTAAAATATGTGTGAAACAATAAATTCCATAAAATATGTAAAAATTTTTTGTTATAGGGAGTCTTAGGAAAGTTTCATTAGCCTAATTAATATTAATGATTTCCATTAAAGAATTTTATATTGTGTGAATATAAAACTTTCTTATGGACAAAGTTGTGACTGTCTTAATACATAGTACTAAATTTTCATTTGTGGCTGATTTTCTATTAAAGCTTAAAGGCAGCAAAATTATTCTGTGAGTTACCTACTGTAGGTAAGAGAGAATAGCACATAATGTAAATTAATCATTTTTGTGAGCGATGTGTTGATTCTACTATGTTCTGTAGAATTATTGCAGTATCTTTAATTACTGTGTATTTATTGTATGTCTACTTTTTAAATTGTCTAAGTGTTTCTAGTTTATCTTTTGAACTATTTCTAAGGTAAAAGCTAATTTTGGTTGCTTTCCAAAGATCACATCAAACATGGACTCCGTTGGCCGAATACAGATGCGAACAAGACGTACCCTGAGGGGTCACCTCGCTAAGATCTATGCCATGCACTGGGGATACGACTCGAGGTTTGTCCGTGTCATTTGTAAACTGTTGGCACAGTTATTTTCATTCGGAATCACCGTTTGCCTTTCTAAACGAATTTATATAAAAAAAAACCTATATGCAGTGCTTGCAGAAAACACAGCTGCTATGAGCATGTGACTTTAAAGCATCATTAGCATTTTAGAGATTTTAAAATCTTTAATATGGAAAATGAATTTGCCTCTTCGAAGTATCCTTATCAAATAATCTGGAGAAACTTTTATTTTAAAAAGACTTACTGATTTTTATTGGAAATGCAGATTTAGAGAGAGAGAAAGAGACAGAAAAAGATCTTGCACTGCTTCAGTCCCCAAGGCCACAGTGGCCACAGGCCACAGCTGAGCTGATCCGAGGCCGGAAGCCAGAAGCTTTTTTCAGGTCTCTCAAATGGGTTCAGAATCCCAAGGACTTGGGCCATCCTCTGCTGCTTTACCAGGTCATTAACAGCTGGGATGGACCTGGAGCATCCGGGACCCAAACCTATGCCCGTTTGGGAGCCTGTTGAGCCGCCTCACCAGACCCCAAACTGGAGAAACTGTATAAGATTCTTTTCTTTGTTTTATGGTATTGTGCTTTCTTTGTAAAAACGCCCAAAAGCAGTTTTATTAGGGAACCTGAAATTTCAGATACTGATTGTATACCATATGTATAAGTAACTGGATATTGCTGAAGCCATTTCTTACTTAAATTCACAAAGGATGGAATTAATTGAAACAAAGATATTTTCATCACATGTGGCTTTCACTTCTCCAGGCCCAACCATAGACACATGTGCTCTGAGTACAGGCACTCGCGTCGAGTGCACACGGGCGTGCACAGTGCCACCTGGCCTGCAGCTGGACAGTGCGGTCACCATGACTGTGCCCCCGGTGTCACAGTGCGGCCTGGCCTTTGTCCAGACTGTCTAGCAATGGCAGGTCTGCTTGCGGTTTGGGCTAGTCCTTTGATTAATCTTATAGGACAATGTCCAAACCAAGCAATTATGTTATTATTTTTTACTGGTAGGACTTACACATCATTTTCTCATAGAAGCCTCACTTGGTGCTCTCCGATGTGAACAGAATACCTCAGTGCAGAATGCAAATGTCTCTTAAGGAAGGAATAAATTTTTTTTTTAATTAACTATGATAAAGTTAGGATGAATGTTTCATCTTTTTCATAAAGCATCTTTTTAAGTATTTATTTTACTTGAAAGTTAGAATTACAGAGACAGACAGATATTCTGTCTGCTGTTTCACTCCCTCCCTCAATGGCTGCTAAAACCAGAGTTGGGCTGGTCTGAAGTCAGGAGCCAAGAGATGTCTTTGGATCCCTCACACGGGTGCAGGTGCCCGAGGCCTGCTGCTTCCTGAGGCCCCTAGCATGGAGCTGGAGCAGAAGTGGAGAGCTGGAAACCAAAGCAGCACCCACGTGGGATGTTGATGTTATAGACAGAGAATTAGCCTGCTACACCGTGGTGCTGGCCCCAAAGAATTTTTTTTAAAGACTTTGAAGAATTTTGAGATAAAAATAACTTGCCTGTTGACATAGCAAAGTTTTAACTCAAAATAGAATCACTTGAGACCTTGGTTGTTGCTTTCCTTAAACATTTCTCAAGATTATTAATCCTCATAGAGAAACAAAAGTATCACCCAGACCTTCTTATCTTGTCTTCCCACCCATTTTGATTGCCAGCCCATTACTTTCTGTTCTTCCTGACTCATACAGTGATGGTAGCAGCTGATCTTGAAGGAGTGTTTAGTCCTATCCCTTACCGTAACATCAGATCTTCCCTTTTGTAAAAGTAACAGTGGCTGTTGCAGAAGAGCCTGCAAATGTTTCCTTAGAGGGAAGGGAACAGTGCTGGGGGCAGGCAGAGGATAGTCATTTTTTTTCTCTTTTGTATCATTGTGGATACACAATTTTAAACTATCATAAAAAATAATACTATAAAAGCCAGATCAGTGACTAATAAATTGTGTAATAGAGTTCATACACCATAGTCTGTAAACAAAGCTTGGAAGTGTAAACCCAGCCTGCTTTTCTCAACTTGCTTTTCTTAGTTCTAGAAACACTATAGGTTCAATTCCTGAAACTGCTGCATTTTCTGTCTCTTGTCATTGATCATTCTTACACCCCTTTCCTCAAATACAGGCTGTTTTTAGCTCTCAGAAATCTGTTTTTTCATGACACGTTCTTTCTTGTTCCTCTCTTAGTAAGTTTCCTGTGTAATTTTAAGTGCTATCATCACCCCTCTGGTGGTTTGCACTTACTTGCTTTCTTACAAATATACATAAATGTCCCAGCAGATGGTAGAGGCTCGAGAGAAGCTGTGTATCTTGAGTTGAACCTGTGACATTGATGTTTGCCAACTGAACGAGATGGGATTGTCAGGCCCATGGGTCCTAACTGGATTGTTAGGAAATTTCAGGAAAACATTAAACTAGTTGGCTAATATCTACCATACTCTAAAATAATAACTAAAATTTTTGTCGCCATGAAAAAGAGCATAGCCAGGGACATTTTGGTCATTGTTTTATTTTATAATTTAAACATGTTAGAAATTTGGACAGGTAGCAATAATTTTTTAGGAGTTGAAAGAATTTTTGGTATAAAGATTTAAATTAGAAAGATTGTATCTTTTCTGAGCTGTTCTATTTTAACGTGGTGCATAGCAAGCTACTTTTTTCCTTTGTGTATCAAATTATTTTTGTGTTTGTTCCTCTAGGCTGCTAGTCAGTGCGTCCCAAGATGGAAAATTAATCATCTGGGATAGCTATACAACAAATAAGGTAAAATTTCTTATCATTCTTTCACATACTCGTATATTTGTTTGCTGTCCACCAATTCTTTTATTTATGCTGACAAATTTAGTTGCTTTTTAGGATAAGTTTATTCCATTTATTTTCATCTATAGCATTTCTTTAGTCATGGTATTAACTTTTGATAGTTGGCCCTTTCCTATTTCCAAGCACGAACTATGGGAACATTCTTTTGTTTCAGTCTTATATTTCATACTTGAAATATAAGAGTACCATTTTACATATAAATGAAATTATAGAGAAAGCTCTGATTTCCTGGTAACACAAGGCTCCTGAGATTTTGATTTCTCATTGTGGGTGAACTACACAGCTCATGTGAAGCTGTCCTCGGCCGACTCCAAGCATTGAGCTGTTTCTGGACTGCTCATTTGCTAGGTCAGAGGCCAGGTACGAGTGGCTGAGGTCTTCTGGTGGCCGAGACGGTGGAGTCTCTTCATGTGTCCACTGGAAGGAATCCCTGATTAAAATTTGTTGAGTGTAAAGAAGAAGCTTTGAGAATATTTTCCTAAGTCCAATACATTTATACTCTCTGTAAACATACACTTATTTTTATTAAATATTCAGAAATAGTATTTGTACCAATTGAGCAGTGCCCTCAGAGCATGCCCCACACTGGGGACCCTGGAGTGGCTGGGAGGGTCGGTGGGGCTTTTCCTTTTATCTCCCCCTGACCCCAGATACAGGGAAAAAAGAAAAAAGAACGTGGAAACAATGGTGTTACCCACATTCCTGTCGCTCTTGACCCTTTGTGCTCTAATCAACTATGTAAAGATTATCAAAATAGAATAATAATTTAAAGATAATAAAATAAAAATTATATTTGTGAAATAAAGATGGAAATTTTTAAAAGCTAGATAATGATAATTTTTAAAAAATGTGAATTAGCATTAAATATGCCCCAACTGTATTTTCCTAAAACAAAAACAATTGTGCTTTTACAGATTACCCTTTTAGGTGAGTTGAGAGTGCAGAGTAAGCAGGAGGCATACTGATGACTTATAGACTGTTCAGACTTGGCATTCCCTCGCACCTTACAGTTTTCCATCTGCTAGTGGTGGGTGTGAGGGTACCAGGCCACCAGACAGTGGTGACCAGATCAGTACAAGACTGCCACCAGCGTTTGAGAGAGATCTACAGAACGTGCCTTAGTAGGATGGTGGTGCCATCTCTTCCCGGGAGAATCATTTTATCACCTGAGAAAGTTGCTTGTTCCCTCCTTGTGTATTGTTCAGTGGTTTGAAGGAGGAAATTCCTCCACGCACTAATGCAAAAGCCATAGAATTTTAGTAAAATCTTTAACACGTGACACTTAATTTTCCAAATGGCTATATTGGCATTGAGACATCTTTATGCCCTTGCTTCTGTTGAAAGAATTATTTCTGAAAGGCCATTTTGTAGTTCCAAATGGTTTGATAATTTAGAAAAAATAATGGGCATTTATTTTTTTAAGGTTTGTTTATTGGACAGGCAGATTTATAGAGAAGGAGAGATAGAAAGATCTTCCATCTGCTGGTTCATTCCCCAGATGGCCGCAATGGCTGGAGCTGAGCTGATTCCAGATCCTTGGTGCAGGGTCCCAAGGCTTTGGGCTGTCCTCCTCTGCTTTCCCAGGCCACAAGCAGGGAGCAGGATGGGAAGTGGAGCTGCCAGGACACAAACCAGCACCCATGTGGGGTGTTATTCTAGGAGATGGAGGATTAGACAGTTAAGACAATGTGCTGGCCCCAGTCATGGCATTGTGATGCATCTTATGTTTTGTTTGTCATGGCTGATTTTCTCAAGCCACTTCATATGTTGTATTTGGCATGCTTTTTTTTTTCAGATGTACTTATTATTTTTTTTTTAGTAATATTTACTTCCCTGTAAACAGTTCAAAAAAATAAAAGCCCATTCTTTTGTTCTTAATCCTAACCCTTTGCGTGTGGCCTTTGTCCTGCAGATGCACGCCATTCCTCTGCGGTCCTCCTGGGTGATGACCTGTGCGTATGCGCCTTCTGGTAATTATGTGGCTTGTGGCGGCCTGGACAACATCTGCTCCATCTATAACTTGAAAACCAGAGAGGGAAACGTGAGAGTGAGTCGGGAGTTGCCGGGTCACACAGGTGAGCTGCACTGTTTTGTTCCTCCCTTTCTCTCCTGCGTCCTTCCGTAGAATGCACTCATCAAGGACAGTGAGTGACACCTACACTCCCCCAGTCACACCTGGGCGATAAACTGAGGGAGAATAGAAATGAGTCTAAATAAGGGAGACAACTGCACTGGCCAGTAGAGCCAGTAACATGGACACCGCGAGGGTCTGGGGATGAAGCACCGACAGGAGACCAGTGATGGTAGAAGTCTCTCTGAAGTCTCCCTTTATTACTTCTTATATACTCTTTCTCCCAAGCCCTTTAACAGAACAGTAGGATGCCAATGAGTCTGATTAGACCAGGTGCTTTTAGCTTCAAACCCATTTCCTGTAGTGCTCAGCTTAACGAGTGCTAATCAACTCCTTAGCCCACAATAGACAATTGCTTTTTATAATCCTGTGTTTGCTGAATATCATTTTACTTTTCTTTCAAAAATAGTTGCATTATTTGAGTGGGTGTTTAGCAGTTAAGATTCCTGCGTCCCATATTGGAGTTTCTGCGTTTCAGCCTGAGCTTCAGCTCCTGGAAGGAAGAAAAAGTCCTGCTGCAGTAATTGGGGCCTTGCCTTCGTGTGGGGGACTTGGATTGAGTTTCCAGCGCCCTTCCTCAGCCCCGCCCAGTCCTGGCTGTGGTGGACATTTGGAAGTTGATCAGTGGATGGGATCTCGTGCTCTCACTCACCTTACTTATGTGGAAAGTGGATGAGACAAGTGCAATCTCCTTTTCCTCTCTGCTGTCTGGGGGAACTTGAGAGAGAAGGGAAGAGGGCTGCTCCCAGCAACCCAACAGCATCAGTATCCAAGGATGTGGGAGGGCCACCCAGTGTCCTCCCGGGTCTCCAGTGTGGAGCATGTTCTGAGGATAATGCTTAAGTGGTTTTGATAGTCTTGAGATGCAGTGATTTCATCACTCCAGGGTTGTGGAAATCCTTCCAAGGTCCATTGGCTGACATAGTCCTTCTTTTTTTTTTTTTAAGATTTATTTTTATTATTTTTTTATTGGAAAGGTGGATATACAGAGAGGAGAGACAGAGAGGAAGATCTTCTGTCCGATAATTCACTCCCTAAGTGAGTCCAACGGCCGATGCTATGCCGATCTGAAGCCAGGAGCCTCCTCCGGGTCTCCCACACGGGTGCAGGGTCCCAAAGCTTTGGGCCGTCCTCGACGGCTTTCCCGGGCCACAGGCAGGGAGCTGGAAGGGAAGCGGGGCTGCCAGGATTAGAACCGGCGCCCATGTGGGATCCTGGGCGTGCAAGGTGAGGACCTTAACCACTGTGCCACTGCGCCGGGCCCTGACATAATCCATCTTAAGAGTCTTCATTGGCTCAGATATTTGTCCGGGAGAGCTGTCCAATTTGTTCTGCCCTCCATGGTTCTAGTTGTCCTCTGGAGAGCTCAGTGTGCCTCATGAGCATCTGGGCGTGCCATCCACAACACAGGCACCAGCGACTGTGGAGAACCATTCTGGCACATGCACTTCATGGGCAGACCAGGTCCTGTGCTTTTCATTGTGGCTGGAGTTCTCAGTCCAGCGAAGAAACCTCGTCAGAGGTGACCCCAACATGACCCCAGTGTGTGCCAGCCAGTGCAGGGTCCAACTTAGTCTGTCACCCACATCAGCCTACACACACATTGAAGGCTGCAGTCACCTGGTCAGTTTTGTTCCCAGCCTCATCTCATACACAAACCAATGGATGCTGTGGCCGAGCCTCACCCTGCCCACCATATTCAGCTCTCTTGCACTGTAGTGGGAACTGCAGCCTAGTTGGAGCAATCCCCAGTAACAACCACTAGGACAGTCCCCAGCCCTGGTTCCTGTGCTTGTCAGTTTCTGCAGCAAACATCCCATTTAGTTCTTGTATACATCAATGGACATTGGAGTCTAGCTCAACCCAACCTACCCCACAATGCAGCCACTCTCATGCCAGGGGGTTCCACAGCCTGCCCTCAGCCCTGGTTCTCATGCTCATCAGTGGGAGTTGCAGCCCATCAGAGAAGTGCCCACGTTTTCCCTACTGGGCCCATTCCCAGCCCTGGATCTTTCACTCTCCAGGTACTAGTTTGACAGGATTTGCTTCCAGTCTCAGCACTTGCCAGCTGATGCTGCAGCAAAGCCCAGCCAGCCTGCACTTACTCTGGCTCATGCATGCACCAATAGATATAGTTGGTTAGCCCAGCCTTGCTCTCCCCCAATCCAACTCACATGAAAGAAACAGATATTGTAGCCCTGCCCAGCCTAGACTTCCCTCAGTGTCATCTCTCACACTCATCAGCAGGAGCATTAGTCCAAAGGGGGAACTCCCACACCCCTCCTGCTGGGCTCTCCACCCGCCCCTCCCCTCTGCCAGTTGCATGTGCTGGTGGGTGCTGTGACCCAGTCTGGCATGGCCCACGTCACCTCATCATTTGCCAGGGGGTGCTGCAGCCTAGTCCAACCCAGCCAGCCCCGAGTCTCAGCCCTAATGTGAACTCAATGGTGTTGACCAACCCTGCCTATCCTGCACGCTGTCCTGGTTCTCACATCTGCCAGTGGGTACTATGAAGTGGCCCAGCCTGGCCTGCCCCCAGACCTGACCCACATGTATGTGGGTGAGTGTCTGTAACCTGGCTTGGTTCCTGCACTCACCTGCAAGGACTGTATCCAGACAGAGGAGTTCCCCAAGCTCCTCTCTCAGGTCACCTCACATCTTGTGTGCACACTGGTGGGTCCTTGACCCAGTGGCCTTGCCTAACTGGCTTGTAAACATTCCAGCTCCTGCTGTTGTGTGCTACAGCCCAGCTGTGCCTGGTCCACCCCCAGACCCAGCTCTCACATGGTTCAGCAAATGCCGAGACTTAGCCCAACTTGTCCTATACCCACTCTGGCTCTCGTGAATGCCAGTGGGTGCTGGAACCTAGGCCAGATTGGCATACCCCAGACCCAGTCCACACCTGTGCCAAGCAATACTGCAGCCATGTTCAGCCCAGTTTGGTGCCCCCATTTCAGCTGTTAACGTTCACTAATGGGAACTGCAGCCTAGCAGAGGTGTTCCCTTAGCTCCCTGGCCAAGCTCACTCCCAGCCACAGATCTTGGACATGCCAGTGGTTGCTCCGACACAGCCTGGCATAACTCATCAGCCAGCTGGGCCTTTGCTATCAGATGCTGCAGCCTGGCCTGGCCTGCCTCCAGTCCTAACTCTCCACTGGTAGGTGCTGCAGCCTAGCCCTGCCCAGTCTGCTCCCAACCCTGGCTTTCATGAAAAACAACTATGATAGGCTAGCCATATGGGAACCGGCACCTATATGGGATCTTGGCACGTGCAAGGCGAGGACTTTAACCAGTACGCTATTGCACTGGGCCCCAGTAAATTTTTTTAATGTTTCTTAAATAGTTGTGTTGTTTTTGTGAAGAAAAAAAAAGTAGAATTGCAAAAAAAAAAAAAAAAAAAAAGAAAGAAAGAAACCTGAATAGTAAAATGTACAAAAAGCAAGTCTGATTTTTAAAAAATATTTATTTATTATTTTTATTGGAAAGGCAAATTAACAGGAGGAGAAACAGAAAGAGCTTTCTTCCACTGGTTCACTCCCCAAGTGGCTACAACATCCGAAACTGAGCTGATCCGAAGCCAGGAGCCCAGAACTTCTTCTGGGTCTCCCACACGGGTGCAGGGTCCTAAGGCTTTGGGCCATCCTCACCTGCTTGCCCAGGCCACAAGCAGGGAGCTGGATGGGAAGTGGAGCAACTGAGATATGAACTGCCCAGATGGGTTCCCAGCACATGCCAGGGGAAGACTTTAGCCACTAGGCTACTACACCAGGCCCAGCAAGTAGGATTTTATGTTCTGCTACCGTGTGGTAGGAGGTTGTGGCATCTGTATTCTGTTACATAATTGGAAGCATTCGGTTTAAGATATTAAGGCAGGATTTCTCACCTTGCAGGACTTGCTGGCTTTCCTTGCCAGTGTACTCAGCCCTCTTCCAGTGTGGCTTTTGGTTAGCAGTGTTTCTGGGGAGTTTATTGCCATTCATCTGATTTCCACTCATAAATTTGTGGCAGTACTGTTTAACCAGACTTTTCCAAAAATTTCTTGGATGGATTTTTGTCATTTGAAATGCCACATCTTTCGAGTGGCAGGGGGTTGGGGAAGGACCTTGGTGAAGGGTACAGGCAACCCCAGAGCCTACGGAACTGTATCATAGAACAAAGTAAAATAAAATTTCTCATTAAAAAAGCCACATCTTTCAGAAAGCCTTCCTTGATAGTCTTCTTATTTCTCACTATTACTTTTAATCTTTCTCCAGGATCTTAACATAGTTGTCCATGGGTCACAGTGGGAAGAGTCTCTATGTAATTGCCTTTGATGACAGGGACCAGCACAGGACAGTGTCATTGATGTATTAAATTCCTGAAAAGGGTTTACTGATCAAATATATTTGAAGACCCACTAATTCAAAGATTATACTGACACTGTGTTTATAAACAGATGTATTCCTGTTTGGAGTGATTCAATCAATGATAACTTAAACCTTGTTCCTCTCGCTTCTACAGGCTACCTGTCCTGCTGTCGCTTTTTAGATGACAGCCAAATTGTTACAAGTTCAGGAGACACGACTTGGTGAGTTGCTTGCAGAGCTCTGAGTGCGGGAGAGGAGTCCCAACAGGACCTGAAGGCGGAAGAGCCGATCGTCACTGATGGTTTTTCCTTCCTTTTGATTACAGTGCGCTGTGGGACATCGAAACTGCCCAGCAGACCACCACGTTCACCGGGCACTCGGGAGACGTGATGAGTCTTTCCCTTGGTCCTGACATGAGGACTTTTGTGTCCGGCGCTTGCGATGCATCTTCCAAATTATGGGACATCCGTGACGGCATGTGCAGGCAGTCCTTCACAGGGCACGTCTCCGATATTAACGCTGTCAGCGTAAGTGAACAGCATGGCTAAAGAAAGTCTATTTTGAATTTAAAAGTGTTGTGCCCTGTGGCATGATGGTAGCAGCAAAGTGCATGTAAGAGTTCTTATTAATTATGTACTACTTCAACCTTGACTACCAAATGATAAGGAATTGGTTTCCGCCCCCCTCCCCTTCAAGCTTTGATTACTCTATGATTCTAGGTCTTTATTTTTAGCTAGATTTTTTTTTTTTTTATTCCCCAGAGTAGAAGGGATAGATCATCTTGAGCAAATAGGCAGATCAGGGATGTCCACACTTGTGTATTTGGAAGAGAAAAAAGCCCTACCCTTCAAGGTAAAGGGAGCAATGCTAAGGAAGAAAAAGGCAGCAGAGGGGTGTTAAGAATGTGGCTTCCTGCAAAGCCAGCTGTGGGAGCATGCTCATAAGCTGCTTGCCAAACTTTGTCAGCCTCACATTCCTCAGTTTTTAAAATGAGGTACTACCACCTTTATGCATAAGGTAATGAGAAGACTAAATGAAACTGCGTGGCGGCGCTCGGTAAGTGCTCTGCATTCCTTACAAGCTGCTTCACATCACAGCCAAACCCAACAGGTAGATTCTGCCAGACAGGAAGGACTCTGTATGGAGCCGCCTTTGGCACAGCAGTGAAGATGCCACGGAGAACAGCCAGGTGCCATCTGAGAATGCCTGATTCCAGTCCCAGCTCTGCCACCAGCCAGCTTCCCACTCATGTGCAGCCTGGGCATGAGCCAGTGGTGGCTGGGGTCGCTGAGGTCACTGGGTTCCGGCTACCCACATGGCCAACCCAGGCTGAGTTCCTGGCTGCTGTGGGAAATGAGCCAGCAGATGTAAGACCCATGTCGCTTTGTATTTCAAATAAAATGAAAGTAAGTAAACAAATTGACTATAAAAGCACTGGATATATGTGAGGATGAACTAGCTAGATGATTTACAAATTAAGATGAAACCAAAATAGCATTCGTAACAGCAATTCCGCTAATTGCCACATGGTCAGACCTGAGGAAGGAGCGTTAGGAGCAGGTAGGGACAGTGTGAGTTGGATAGATGGTCTGTGTCGATTATGTGTCCAGGAGATTTACACAGATATGACTGAACTTTTAAAAAGCACTGTAGTGGGGAACAGCACAGTGACCTAGCGGCTAAAGTCCTCGCCTTGAATGCGCTGGGATCCCATATGAATGCCAGTTCTAATCCCAGCAGCTCCACTTCCCATCCAGCTCTCTGCCTGTGGCCTGGGAAGGCAGTCAAGGACGTTCCAAAGCCTTGAGAATCTGCACCCATGTGGGAGACCTGGAGGAAGTTCCTGGCTCCTGGCTTCAGATGGGCGTAGCACTGGCCGTTGCGATCACTTGGAAAGTGAATCATTGGATGGAAGATCTTCCTCACTGCCTCTCCTCCTCTCTGTATATCTGACTTTGCAATAATAATAAATAAATCTTAGAAAAATAAAAAAATAAAAGTACTGTAATAGCCAGTAGCTAGGTATATAAGACGCATTCTAGTTTTATAAGAAGATTTTTGTAAAACTTATTTGCTTGTACTGAAGAAGTAGATTTACGGAGAGAAGCAGAGAGAGAGAGAAAATCTTTCACCCACTGCTTTACTCCCCAAGTGGCCACAATGGTTGGAACTGATCCAATCCAAAGTCTGAGGCCAAGAGCTTCTTCTGGGTCTCCCATGTGAGTGTAGGGTCCCGTGGGCCATCCTCTGCTTGCCCAAAGCACAAGCAGGGAGCTGGTTTGGAAGTAGAACAGCCAGAACATGAACCATACCTATATGGGATGCTGGTGCCATAGGGAGAAAGATATTTTTACAGAAACAATTTGAAAGTTTTTTTCTTACATGCACACATTAAAATCACTTTTATATATTTTATAGAGAAAATCAAAAATTAAATGCCTTGCTACCATTTCCATAAGCCCTTTTGGGGTTCAATGAATCCGAGCGAGACTCCAAGGCGAGTGAGATGAGTTTAATGTCTAGTCCGAGGGGAGCCTCTTGCCATAAGCAAGAAGCTCCCCGATGAATAATCGTGGGGTTTTTACAGTAAGAGAACCAAAAGCTACGTGACAGTGAACAAGTACATGATTAGGGGCTAACAGTGACACAAACAGAAAGCACGCAACAGGAATTTACAGCGTACAGGTTGGGGGTCCTGATCGCATCCCTTCAATGCAGGCAGTAATAAAGCAGCACGCCTCGGAGGGAGCTGTCTTTCCCGCAAATCCAGAAACTCCAGGGTTCTCCCTGTCTCCCGCCTGCCTCCTGGTCTTCCAGGAAACAGGAGCTTCACTCACAACAGGATGCAGGCATCTCCTTGGAGATGCCAGACTTCCAGGAGTACAGTCACCTTTGCAATGAACCCTTACAGCCTTCCCCTTAACACAGCTTTTTATAGCAAATAAGCATAACACTTGCCATCCCTCATCCCATCATGTTAATCAGATTATGGATATTCTCTGATATGCCTGATTTTATAAGGTTTTTCTGAGGAGAGGTAGCAGGAGTCTGTTTATTTTAGGTCAAGATGTTGGATTGAATTTTCTTAAGTTTTTTTAAATCGACCGTGAGTGTTGGGTTTTATCAAAGGTTTCTTTTCTGTATTTATTGAAATGATTATGTGGCTGTTCTTTTTCAGCCTTATATCAAAATGACAAATATCAGACTCCTTTCCCTCCTGTTTTTAGACTTGTTTACTTGAAAGTCAGATGAGGGAGGAAGGGCGGAAGAGATGTCCGCTTGCTGGTTCACTGTCCAAGCGGCCACAGCAGCTGGGACCCACGTCCAGGTCTCCCCCGGGACAGCAGGGGCGCAACTACCGCTGCTTGGGCCAGGTGCTGCAGGAAGGAGCTGGATTTGTAAGCAGAGCAGCCAGGACTCAGATCAACTCTCTTATGTGAAACGGCAGCACGGGGAGCAGCAGATTAGCCTACTGTACCACAGTCCTAGCCCTAAAAAGTATCTGTCGAATCCATTTCTCCATGACCTTTTAAAACCATCCTGTGTGGATTTGATCTGCTAAGATTATTTGATAAGCTCTACATGTATAGACATAAAGGTTGTTGTTCCATTTTTTTAAAATCTTGAAATGTTTTATCTGGCTCTGGTATCATTTAGAAGAGTTGTTATCTCTCTATTTTTCTGGAAGATTTTGTATGTAATTAGTAGTATTTCTTCTTTAAATATTTTATTCTGTGTTCCTGCAATGCTATCTGGCTATGGAGTTTTCTTTGAGGGGAATAATTACACATTTCGTGTCGTAGTAAACACAGGGCTGTTGAGGTAATTCATTTCTTTTGATTTTACTGTTTTTGTTTTAAATTTTATTTTTGATGTTGTTCACACGGTTGAGAAGGCTGTGTACTCCTGTGGGCTCCTGATTGGGGTAGGAAGGGTCATGGTGTGTACGAAAGAAGGTGGGGCAAATGTTTCCGACTTTTTTCTTTTCCTCCTGTATCTGCAAGGTTGGGCAGCGCGAGGGGGGCTGCTCCTTACTGCCAGCTGCACTGCTTCTGGAGGTGGGAGACTCGCTTGGTATCCATTTCTTTTGATAGAGCTTTGATTGTGTGTCTCTTTTTAAGATTTATGTATTTATTGGAAAAGCAAGTTAGAGTGCAAGCGAGTACCCACTGCTGTCCACTGTTTGACTCCCCAAGTGGTGACAGTGGCCAGGGCTGAGCCAGGCCCAAGCAGGGCAGAGCTCCAGCCGACTCTCCATTGTGGGTAGTAATAGCCCAAGTACTTGGGCCATTCTCTGCTTCCCTAGGTGCAGTTTCAGCAACCTGGATTAGAATTGGAGGAGGTGGGATTCGAGCTTGTGCTCAAATAGGATACTGGTACATAAGCTACTACTTAAAACTCACTGCAGTCCGTCTGTCTGTGCGGAACCAGAGCTTCCAGTGGCATTCTTGCACTTGGGTGGAGCCAGAGCTGCTGGTGGCTTCTGCCTCTTTCATGATCTCTGGGGTCTGGAGACTCACGTGGTGGCTGTTGGAGTGGACCTGAGATCACATATCTGTTTTCATCCCAAGGGCGGGTGGGAGTGGGGAGGGAAAGGGCTAGTGTGATGCCCATATGCTGTGTCTCCCAGGTGAGTGGAGTGGTAAGATCCCAGACCTGCCCATGTGCCATCTTGGGTTTCTGATGGGCAGGCAGAGCTTAAAACTCCAGGTCAGCTTGCCACCCCACCAGAAAACGGCTTGGGAAGACTGGCCTGGGGAACCATCCCATATGCTCCCGGGCACAGGGACTACGGATTGATCAGAGAAGGAAGTTTGGGAATGTGAGGGAAGGAGTACCGCTGAGGGAGTATGTTTCAGGTGAGCAGGGATTTGTGGGGAGTTCCACCTGCAAGGCCGCTGAGCCTGAGCAGTTTGGAAGGGGGCAGTCAGAGGACCTTTCTGGGGCAGACTGATGGCTCCTGGCCAAATGGGAGAGCAGAGCTGGGATAGGTAGCATTGACCACTGCTGACCACCACCCACCAGTGCACACGAAAGTCAGGGCTGGGGTCCACCTGGCAGGGCTCGATCATAGTACAATCCAGTGTGTCAGAACAGGGCATGGATCACATTAGGCTGGGCCATGACACTAACCACAACAAGAGAGAATTGGGTCTGGGGGCAGATTCTGTGGGGAGTATGTGGGCCCACCCCTGTGGAACTGCAATTTCTTCTGGTTTGCTTAAGAGCGGGCCCATTAATTATCTATAAGCATGTTATTTAATTTCCAAATAGTTAGGTTTTTAAAATTATTTTTAAGATTTACTTTTATTGGAAAGGCAGATTTGCAGAGTGACAGAGAGAAAGATCTTCTATCCGCTGGGTTATTCCCCAAGTAACCACAACAGCAGGAGCTGAGCTGATCTGAAGGCAGGAGCTTGGAGCCTCTTCTGGGCCAGGAGGCCCAACATAGGAATGTTGGTGTTGGTCCAGGATCCCAAGGCTTTGGGCTGACCTTGACTGCTTTCCCAGGCCACAAGCAGGGAGCTGGATGGGAATTAGAGCAGATGGGAGACAAAGTGATGGCCACATGGGATCCTGAGTGTGCAAGAAGAGGACTTTTGCCACTAGGTTACCGCACCAGACACGGTTAATAAAGTCATGCTTTTTATTGAGTTTTTGCTTCAGTCTGTTGAAGTTAGAGGAAAACACTTAAATGATTTCAGATTTATTGAAATTTGCTTCATTATCTAGAAAAGGGTTGCCGTGGTTTGTCCTGTGGGATTCAGGGGTTGAAAGCTTATTAGCCCAGTGGCTCAGTGGCTCAATACATAAATCTTCACCTTGCAAGCACCAGGATCCCATATGGGTGCATGTTTGTGTCTCGGCAGCTCCACTTCCCATCCAGCTCCCTGCTTACGGCCTGGGAAAGCAGCAGAGGATGACTCAAGTCTTTGGGGCCCTGTACCTAGCAGAAGCTCCTGGCTTCAGATGGGCTCGACTCTGGCCATTGCGGCCATTCGGAGAGCGAACAGGCAGACGGAAGGCCCTTTTCCATCTACCCTTCGTTCTTTTTCTCTGCTAATCGCTGTAAATCTGCCTTTCAAATAAAAATAAATACATCTCTAAAAGGTTTGATTATTTGAAAGGAGAATTCAGAGACCAGAAAGAGGCTGGCCATCAATGAGTTCACTCCCTCAGCAGTCAGAACTGGGCCAGGCTGGAACCTGGAACTCTTTCCGGGTCTGTCATGTGAGTGGCAGGGCCCTGTCCTCCTGCGCCAGCTGCTGCTGTGTTTGCCCAGGTGCGTTACTGGGGGGCTCGACTGGAAGCAGAGCAAACTGGACTTGAACTGGTGCTCAAACAGGATGTTGGCATTGCAAGGGGAGTCTTAACTGCCTGTACTACAATGCGATCCCATGACTTAAAATTTTTTTATGATTATTATTGATTTGAAGAAAAGGAAAGCAGAAAGGGACCAATAGCTCTGCCATGCACTGTTTTACTCATGTGTCTACAATTAGGATTGAGCCAGACTGGAGGCAGGAGCCAGGAGCCAGGCATACAGCCTGGGGTCTCCCACATGGGAAGGAGGAATTCGGACCCTTGAGGCTCATCCTGCCGCCTCACAGAGTGCCCCTTAGCGACAGGTGTCCCGTAGCGACAGGCTGGGGTCGGCAGTCAGGCTCGGCACCCAAGCTCTGGCAGTTGGATATGACATATGAGCATCTCAGTGGCATTGTGACCACTATGCCAAACACCCACCCACCCGTTAATTTTTGATAAAATACGGACTTTAAATGAAAACAGGGGAAAAGGGAGAGTTGGTGCGATGATTCAATTGGCTGATCCTCCCCTTGCATGCGCTGGGATCCCATGTGGACACTAGTTTGTGTCCTGGCTGCTCCAATTCCCATCCAGCTCCCTACTTGTACCCTGGGAAAGTGGTCGAGGACAGCCCAAAGCCTTGGGACCCTGCACCCACGTGGGAGATCCAGAAGAGGCTCTGGGCTCCTGGCTTCAAATTTGCACAATTGAGGCCATGGTAGCCACATGGGGAATGAGCCTTGTGGACGGAAGATCTCTCTCCTTCTCTGTGTAAATCTGCCTTTCCAATAAAAAAAAATCTTTAAAATGTAGGACATGTAGGACCAAAGTCAGTATTTGTTGAATACTTGCTGTGTGCTTCATATGTTTGTTTTCCATTCAGTGCTAAGCAACATTCTAAGGCTAAGGTTAGTTAGGAGTCTTCAGTGCCTAACCTGGTGAGTGGCCAAGCTGGAACTTAACTCTAAACCCATCTTACCACGGCACTTGGTGTCCTACTACCTGCCACGGTTTATGTATGCATTTTTGAGATACATGTGTATTGATCTTCTCTTCTAGTTTTTCCCGAACGGGTATGCCTTTGCCACTGGCTCTGATGACGCCACCTGCCGACTCTTCGACCTGCGTGCCGATCAAGAGCTGTTACTGTATTCTCATGACAACATCATCTGTGGAATCACTTCCGTGGCCTTCTCAAAAAGTGGGCGACTCCTGTTAGCAGGCTACGATGACTTCAACTGTAACGTTTGGGACACGCTAAAAGGAGACCGTGCAGGTTAGTACACAGGCCCACACTGGGTTCTGGTTTTCAGGACACAAGGTCACCCCACCTGTCTCCCAGGTTTTTGGGGGGCTTCGTGCACTGCGGAAAACCACTGGCAGTTACACCCACGGGATTGCCCTCTGAGTACAGTCAGAGCCCATAAGCCACACTTCTGTTTTCTGTAGAGACATGTTTAGTATTAGTTCATTAACATTTTATTTGGTAAGGTTTGCTTAAAAAAATTTAAAAAAAGGAATTGTGAATGATTCAATATGTTATTCTACAAACCACAATAGTCTTAACTAAAAAAAAAAGTTTTAAGATTGATTTATTTTTATTGGAAAGGCAGAAAGATCTCCCATCCACTGGTTTACTCCCCACAACAGTTGTAACCAGGAGCCAGGAGCTTCTTTCAGGTCACGCACATGGGTGCAGGGTCCTAAGAGTTTGGGCCGTCCTGCTTTTCCAGGCCACAAACATGGAGCTGGACGGGAAATGGAGCAACCACGGTGCAAACCAGCACTTATACGGGGTTCTGGCATGTCCAAGGTGACGATTTAACCACTAGACTGTCACACCAGGTGCAAAATTTTTCTTATAACCAGAAGGAAAACATTGTCGACTGCTGCTGTCATTGTCTTCCTTCCGGAGCAGCCCTACAGCAGTCCCTTCCGGACAAGGCCCATTAGCCTTATTGTCTTCTCAGGTTCTAAAATATTCAAGCATCCATCAAGCCATATGAAGATGTCATTGAAAAATTGTGCAATGGAGTGATTTAAATTTTTTCTCAAAAACTCAGTTCTACCAGGGCTGGCACCAGGACATAGTAGGTTAGCTTTCCTTCAAGGTACCAGCATCTCAGGTGGGTGCCAGTTGGAGCCCAGTTGCTCCACTTGGTGATCCAGCCTCCAGGAAGACAGGGCATGGCTCAAGTTCTTAGGTCCTTGCACCCACAAGGGAGACCCCGAGGAAGCTCCTGGCTCCTGATGGGCTCAGCTCTGGCCGTTGCAGCCATCTGGGTAGTGGACACTGAGTGGGAGATTCTCTCTGACTCTTCTCTGTAACTTGGTCCTTAAAATCAGTTGTTTACAAGATGTACTTAAAATGACACCAGAGCAGTCAGCTAGTTGTGATGGCTTGTTTCCGGCCGCAGCAGCCGCTGGGTCCAAGCCCTGCGCTCTCCCCACTCTCCCCGCGTGGCGCCCTCTCGGGGAGGACCGCAGCATTGCTGTGCTTTGGCTCTGAGCAGACCTGTTGTTGGTCTCAGGCAATGAGCATCTGGTGTTTGCCGTCTCTCTTCACCCTCCCACTTTTCCCTATATGGTATGTATTTTTAGAAAAATACTCAGTGTTTACATAATTATGGCACAGGATGTATTCACTGCTGAGCAATGAAGTATTCTGTGACTAATCTTGTTGTACAAGTCTTTTGATGGTGTAATCCTAAAATGGATTTTTTTTTTTGGTTTATACTTTGTTTTTAAATGTAGTTCTGCCAGTGCTGATAATGTCTCAGAGTGGATCTGTTTGTATTTGAGGGCCTTTTTTTTTTTTTTTAAGATTTTTAAAAAATTTTATTGGAAAGGTAGAGTTAGCGAAGGCGAGATGGCTGCAGCACACAGGACTGGGCCAGGCTGAAGCTAGGAGCTTCCTGTGGGTCTTCCTTCTGGGTGACGGGGTCCCAAACACCGTGAATGAGCACTCAAACAGGACGCCAGCACCAACAGTGGCTTTATGTGCTATGCCACAAGACCACCTCTCCTGCAGGAAGTCTTAGTGATTCTTCAATAGTCCAGTGAAATCTTACTTTGCCTTATCTTTATCTTAGTTCTAATAATACAAATCTGGACCCCTAAACTTACCTTTCAGTTCCGTTTTCCACCAATTCTTGCAGTAACTTCATACTTGAGGTTTATCTTTGCTTTTGCTTATATAGCTAGTTTGTTTGGCTCAACCAGAACTTTTGCCTTGAAGTGGAATCCTGATTTCTGGGCTGTTCATTCATTCTGTTCTCCAGTATCACTTAAAGTATTTATTTATTTAAAGATTGATTTATTTATTTAAATTGGAAAGTCAGATATACAGAGAGGAGGAGAGACAGAGAGGAAGATCTTCCGTCCCATCTGCTGGGTTATTCCCTAAGTGTCCACAATGGCCAGAAGTGAGCCGATCTGAAACCAGGAGCCAGGAGCTTCTTCCAGGTCTCCCATGTGGGAGCAGGATCCCAAGGCTTTGAGGCCGTCCTCGGCTGCTTTCCCAGGCCAAAAGCAGAGAGCTGGATGCGAAGCAGGGCTGCTGGGATTAGAACCAGTGCCTATATGGGATCCCAGTGCATACTAGGCAAAGACTTTAACTGCTAGGCTATGGTGCCGGGTGCAACTTGAAATATTTAAAGATAGTGTTAATTTATTTCAACCCATGATGATTAATTTGCTCATTGCCAAACATTGTCATACTACAAGTATTATTTAATTGAAAAAGATAATCTTCTGCACCTAACAATGAATGAAAATGACATGCTGAAAAGCAAGTTGTTTCAGAAGAGGGGTGCAGGCTTCAGCCAATCATAAATGCTACTCCCACGTCAGACCTCGGCTCAGTTCCAGCTTGCTGCTAGTGTGCCCATCTGAGACACTGGAGCTGACGGCTCCCTGCCCGCCCTGTGGGAGATCTCATTGAGTTCCTGTCTGCTGAGGCTAGCTTGGCCGAGCCAGTTGTGTTGGGCATTTGCCAAGTGAACCAGTGGAGGAAACTGCCTGGCTTACAAATTCTTACTAAAAATTAGACATTTCTCCCCATTATTGAGAATATTTAATTTGCTCCTCTCTGATGATCAGGCTATCAGGTTTAACTTTTTAAAATATTATTATTATTATTATTATTAGATTTATTTTCATTTGTGAAAGTCACATGAACAGATGGAAAAGTCAGAGAGATCTTCTGTCTGCTGATTCACTCCCCAAATGGCCAGAGCTGGTATGAAGCCAGGAGCCAGTTGCTTCTGTGTCTCCCATATGGGTACAGGGGCCTGAGGATTTGGGCGATTCTCTGCTGCTTTCCCAGGCCCAAAGCAGGAAGTTCGGCTGCAAGCAGAGCAGCTGGATATGAACTGGTACCCAAGCCGATGCTTGCAGGCAGAGAGTTAGCCTGTTGAGCTGTGGTGCTGGCCTCTCGCTTTATTAAAAAAATTATGTACTTACTTGACAGGCAGAGTTATAGAGAAAGAAGCCTTCCATCCACTGGTTTACTCGCCGAATGGCTACAGCCAGCAGCTAGGAAGTTCATCCAGGTCTCCCCCGTGGACCTCAGTGGCCTAGGCGCTCAGGCCATCTTCTGCCTTCCCAGGACTTAGACACAAACCACTGCTCAAATGGGATGCTGCTGTCACAGGCAGTGGCTTAACCCCGCTGCACAATGCTGCCCCCCACCCCAGCTTTAGCTTTAATATGCAAAAGAAATTAAAACCAGATTAATTTGATGGCTTCAAGAAATTGTAAGCAACAGCATTCCAGTGGTGGGAGTAATTTTGAAATTGCTTATGTAAAGGCAATATCAGTGACATTCATTTAATATTTTGTTTTTGTTGAAGCCAGCTTGGGTCAGTAGGAAAATCTGCAGTACCATGAACTTATCAGAGATGCAGAGTAAGCATCAAAATCCCTTCTCATATAAAGGAGCTTAATTTTGAAGCGAATTTTCAAACATCAAAATGCTACACATCAGAAATTCAAGTAATACAGAAGGCTACCTTTTACATATATGCTCAGTCCACACATCTGAGTCCCCAGGGCACTCCATTAGGAGTTAAATGCCTTCTAAGTTTTTATGTATGCATTTACTCTAATTCCAAAAGTGCTAACTTTCTTCACAACTTTTTTTCAGGTGTCCTCGCTGGTCATGACAACCGTGTCAGCTGTTTAGGTGTTACTGATGATGGCATGGCTGTGGCAACAGGCTCTTGGGACAGTTTCCTTAGAATCTGGAATTAACAGTGTGGTCTTAACCTAATTTCTGTTCTCCATTGGTATCTGGAGAAATCAATTCTACAGCCTATAGCTGTGAAAAAAGAAAATTCTACCTTATATTTGCAGGTAAAGATTTTTCTATTGAGATTATTACAAACAAAAAGCTTTCAGTCAAGTACAAAAACAGTGGAGGGAGGTGAGGCGGAGCAAAGGTGCCTGCGGAGAGCAGAAAGACCAGTGTATTAATCTGAGGAGTTAATTCAACCTTGAGGAATGTTTGCTTGCAACCAGTCTATCTGTGCAGAACAGAGTGTATGCATTTTTGCAGCATATCATTGTTTTCCCTTTTCATGAACTACATTTTTTTTTAAGTTTTGTAACAGAAGAACCATCCGAGTAGATGATACCCGGTGTGTGTGCGCGCGTGCAGCGCCCTGACCTTCCTTAGAGACCCTGGCTGCTGGCTGAGTGCCACAGGGGAGGCCGGCCGTCCTCACGCCTCCTGTGCCATACTCAGTTTAAAGAGCTCATTTTTAATTTTTTCAGGGGACAGATAATCCAAAGGCCAGAGATTTAAGATTTCATGGATATTTTAAATATATACGAAAAAAACTAAGTATTATGTGAATAAAAGTAGTTGATAGTACCTAAGTAATCCTTGTTTAGACTAGTTATGATCAGTTGACTGACCAGCACTCCACATAGCTGGATCCCTACTGATTTGGTTTTCCAGAATTAAGTGGTGTAGAAAATATTTATAGCTCAGAAGTTTGATAAATATATGGATTTTCCCTGTATCTGAAGAGTTTTCCCCAGTGTACTCTGCCAGCATGAATCTAGATGGGAAAGTGGAGTGTTGACAGTGTTAGATTTTTAAGAGACATGTAAAAATCTAACCAATTGTTGGTACGGATGTTGTGTAATTGTTAAGGTAGGTTTCTGAGTGTTGTGTTTATGTACTATAAAATCTGAACTGATGTAAAGGTTTTCAAATCTTTGTTTTCAAATTTCTTCAAGTGAAATAGTTAAGCTTTTTATTCTTCTGTATTCCTGAAGCACAAAATTACTGGTTTCTAAGTGGTTCCACTTCACACAATAACCAGATCTGAACGACCCCGTAATTAGGAAGGCAGAGGAACACATGAGCAGTGTGTCGTCGGTGCTCAGTGATTCCGGCCCCCCAGATTAGACACAAAGATACTTGTTATTTTGGGTTTGCTTGTACAAATAAATTTAAATGACTGATAATATAAGACTGTTATACTAGCTATAGGATATTCTGGGATGCAGAAATTCAGTTTGTAACTTAATAAACTGTAAATTATTACTCAGATAGGTCTGTTAGCCATAATTCTTTACCTGTCTTCATTTTGTATTGGTAGTGTGCTAATACTTGCATCAAATGAAGTCAGTTTAACTTTTATCAAGGTCAAATTGATACTAGAGCATAAAATGGATAGAGGCAAATTAGGATATAGGACCAAAACAGAATGTCGTAGATGGCAGGTGTGAATGTATATTTATATTGTGGCTAAGATAACTATGAATGTTGCTGTTAATGTTTATTGTGGACTATTATATCCCTTCATCAAAAGCAGCACTTTGAGATAAGGCAAGAATATTGTAAAGGGACACACACACACTCTTTCCAAAAAGGGGACGGTGGTGGCCGAAGGCTGCTGTGAATTTCAGCAGATTTATTCCAAAATCCTATTAAAAACACTTCTGTTATTTGTGAAATAATAATATGCTTGAATATGAGCTTAATATATCTTCTTAAATATCTTAAGCTTAAATATCTTCTCTAGTTAAAAGTTATCATAAAAACACAATACTTTGGTCAAAAAACTGCATTGTCAATGAGTCATACAGAAAACAATAAATGGTGTTTGCTTCCAGAGAGGAATGCAAAGCAGTTTCTAAAATTACATAGTGGACAACTGAAATCTAGTAACTGTGGGACACTGTGAATAATTTTACACATGAGCAAACAGTAAAAAAGTATCCTCGTTGCTGTACTAATTACCTTGGCAGTTAGACCTTTGCTTTCCAGGGCTGTAAGGACCAGGTGCTAAACATATTTGCTTGTAATGATGGTCAGCGAATGTTGTGCATGACTTCTTCCGAGTCACTTGAAGTGTGTAATTTTGGGGAACACTGTATAGTTTGGGTCTTAGTTTTTCAAGGCCTAAAATCTTGTGCATCAAGAATATCAATTTGGTGTCCAATAATCTTGTAAGAAATATTAAAATATAACATGGCGGAGCAGACTGATTTGAGATTTTGCACGAGTATTATAAAGGCATATATTATGTTCTAAATCAACATGGTCACTTTCTGGTCAAAAAAAGCATTAAAAAAAAAAAAAGCCTGATCAAGAAAACGGTTCTTGCTATCAACAGGTTAACTCCTCTGCTTGGACGGGTAGGCCTCACTTTCGCCAGCTCTGCTGTTAAACATTTAGACTAATTATGGAAGGCCCATCTGCAGCTCAGATGTTTAATTATGACTACATACAATATGTTAATAAAAGCAAAGAGCACTTGGGACTAGTGATTGAACAGCAAGAGAGCTAGTAGGTAATTCTTAGTTTAGACACAGATGAACTGCTTAATACTGCATGACTTCTTGAAGTACAAGATGTCGGTGCTTTGGGAGTAAGTTAAAGAACTTTTAAAGTTAACCTACCTATTAGAAGAAAAATACATTTTCTCCAGTGGCAAAAGATTTTCTGTTTGCTAAAAGGTGTGTGCAAATATTACACAACAGAGCTCCTCCAACAATTCTGATTTCATTGACATTAAAGAAATTGCTGCTGTGATGTGAACATCTGATTTAACCTAATACAACTGAATAATTGGCTGTTTGTGTAACAAATTGATTATATACAACAGTGAAGGTGTTCTTTCTAGGACCTTCAGGGTCTGAATCAAGATGCTTAGAAACTTAAATTTACATATTCTGGGCTCTGCGGGGTAGCCTAGCAGCTAAAGTCCTCACCTTGCATGAGCTGGGAGCCCATATGGCACCAGTTCTAATTCTGGTGGCCCTGCTTCCCATCCAGCTCCCTGCTTGTGGCCTGGGAAAGCAGTCGAGGACGGCCTTAAAGCCTTGGGACCCTGCAGCCGCGTGGGAGACCTGGAAGATGTTCCAGACTGGCTCAGCTGTGGCTGTTGTGTCCACTCGGGGAGTGAATCGTTGGATGGAAGATTTTTCTGTCTCTGCTCCTCTGTATATTTGGCTTTCCATTTAAACAAAAGAATTAAGTATTCCATTCAGCTTCTTTCCCTTTTGCCATGGTAGACAGCAGCATTTTAAACTATTTCTTAACCCCCTACTACAGTTATCAGAGAGCAGCCACAAGCTAGACCATCTTCCGTATAACAGCAAATGAAAAATGTGGCATTTGAAATTGGATTAAGTAGAATATGAACTACATTTCAGAGTATCAGTTTTTCTCCCACTGATCATGCCGTGTTGCTTCAAATTCAGTGCTACATTTATAAGTACTCATTAAAATGAGTTCAACTAGTTAAGCTAGCACTCTTTTAAAAACTAAATTATTAATCAGATTGATAGTACACATTGTATTTAGCAAATGTTTGCCTTTCAGATTTCCTAAAAGTCAGTTTTCTTAAACTTGCTAATGCATTTCAACTGGTTTTAAATGTACCCAACAACATCTTAGATACTTATCGAATATTGAATTGAGCCTCAGTGATCAGCTGGTATTTGTCTTGTTCTTACGTAATGGTGCTTCTATTTTTCTCTTTTCAAAGAGGTCTCTGAACACTTGGCATTTCCTTATCCCAAGGCGTCCACATTTAAGTGCTATTAAAGTTCATCACAGTGTTTTCACAGCATTTTGAAGTGTTTTTTCTTCACCTAGAATGATTTGAGCATGCTTACGGCCAACTGACAGTGAATAAAGGCTTTAAACCATACAATAGACTTGTACTATGATTAACAGTATTCTTCAATCTTTCTTACAGTGATTGATTCATTTGTACAGTTACTTTGTGAAATGTTGCTGTGAACTGATATTGTAATCAATAAAATACTTTTAACGTGACTTTATTGTCATCTTAGTTTTTAAAACAAATCATATTAAGTCATGCCCAGTGTTTCATGCTTAGTCCCCAATTCCTTTATCTAAATATCTTCAATTTTTTTTTTCATGAGAAACTGTAAGCAAAGAACAGACTGGAGTATTACTAATCCATCCTTTCAGATTACAAACTATAGCTTATTATTTTTAAGTTTTTTATTTCCATCCTGTTTAAGAGAAATCTTCCATTCACTGGTTCACTTCCCATAATTTCTGTGATAGCCATGGCTGGGCCAGGCCAACGCCACAAGCTGGGAACTGAATCTGTGTCGCACATGGCTGGCAGGAACTTGAACCGTCACGTGCTGGCGCTGCACGGCAGCAGAAAGGCGAAGTGGGAAGGAGAGCTAGGACTTGACCTAGGCACTCTACTACGGGATGCCAGCATCTGGAGCAGCAGCATCCTTGCTGTGACCTGGCCCAGCCCATCTCAACATTAGAAAGCTACAGATTCTCATTAAAAAGTAAAATGTTTCTTCCTCTATAGTTCTCTTACAGCCAGTCCTGCTTACAGTATTGTTAAAATTTTCTTATGTTCATTTATTATAATCTTGGGGGAGAAAATTCATAAGACATTTCAGATGATGTTGCATTCCATGAAGAGAACTAGTATCCTACGATATGTGCAACTTTCACTTACCGTTCAGTTCACTGCTAGGCGCACCCGGCAGCAACACAATCCTATGAGCAAGTCAACTCACTTTGTTTGCCTACTCTAAGTGATTAGAACTCACTAAACTACCAGAAATACAAAATTTATCAACTATTAGGCAAACGGGTTTTATTTTCACCTTGTAATATTGCATACTTAGAAAATGTTTTGTAAAATGTTAAGATTATACAAAGTGTATAAATAATCCTGCAGACATAGTAAACAATAAAGCATGTTTCTATATCAGCTATAATTACATAATCTCTGGTGGCCAGGTGGTGAGTATGTGTCCAGCCACAGGAGCTGGGCAGCAATGTCTGAGTGTTCCGTTTGCAGACTTCGTCAGGCAGTGCGACACTGACACTAGTGAGGAGCACACTGCCCACAGCGCCAGCACAGCAGTGAGCACACATTTCAGGATGTGTCAGATCGGCTGGCAAGCACAGAGCAGCACATTGTGTAGCACCTCTGATTTCTGAAGGCCTGGGCTGAAACCACTCAGAGCCTACGTTTTTCTTAGAAGTGATACTGGTAGGATAATCCAAGGGCCAAACTTTTGAGTCCAAACCACCACATTTAACGTAGCACAACACCATTATGTGACTTTAAAAGTTAAAGGGGTTAATAAAAAGGTTAAGGGCTTGAATTTCTAACTTAAATCAGCAGTACCCAGTTTGAGACACTTTTTCCTACAATCTCACCTAATTCAATTTGTTGATAAGAAAAAGCTAAAAATTATTATTCATTTGTAGTGGGATTATATTGCCTCCTAGTGTCTGATTTATAGAGAACAGGTATGTTTGACAGACATTTATACGGCCTAACTATTTATTTTCTCTTAAAATATCTATAAAAGTTGTACTGTTCTTAAAAAGACTGACTAGCATCCAGGAGCCTTAGAAGGTACAGAAAATAAGTATTTAAAAAAAAACAACTTGAAATTTTGTCCTCCAGCATAAACTGTACTTGGCCAAATATACTATGTATTTCCATTAAGTGCCTGGATGGTGCTGATCTGCTGAGTCTATTTGTACAACAAGGAGCTAGAATGTCATTTTTTTCAGTGTTTCTTCAGGTTCATGTTTTATCAATTATAAGCAATAGGATACTTGAACTCACAAACTTCACTGAGGTAAAATGTACAATCATTTTTAATGTAGCCCTGAAAAATTCATACAAGTAAAAGCCTCCAATGGTGGACAATCCAGCAATAACTTAGCAGATGCCTGCTGAAGGACTTTTAAACATCACTACTATGATCCAAAACCCAGCCCTCCTTAGGCTGTGGCTGTCTCTTCCGTTTCCAATTTTACTTCTAAATCTGATAAACTCTCCTTACAGGAAGCATAACTGGAGCAAAAAAAGTGCTTTTTTAGAAACAGGTAAAAAAATTGCTTAATATTAAAATACTTTTATAGGTTACCAGTTATAATAACAAACTTTTATACTGTTTTGTATCATTTTTAATGGGAATAAACAAGGAGTAAAAATGGTATTTCTTAGTGGTTTACATACCTGCCACAACAGAAGTGATTGTAACTTGCAAACTGATAGAGTCCACACCATCTCACACCCCTTCACAGTCTGAGCAATGCAGTTTATAAAACAGCATCAAAGCCAGTTTTGAGAAAGGTGAAAGGCTCACACTCCAACTCCTGGGTGCCAGGAAGCAGAGTTTTTCAGAGTCAAAAACAAAGAAAGCCCTGGTTAAGAGCTCAAGGCCCCACCCCTCAGGGGTCACACAGATGGTCTGTTAATTTTAACTAATTCATTATCTTAACAAAAATGATTTAGCCTTTCCTTACCCAAATTAAAACTAAAGACGCCCAAACACTCTTCAGACACGCAAATACCCGAAGATAGATCATTTCTAGAGTCTATGTAGGCATTTGCTATTTAGATACAATTAGTGTAATTCATGTTTTAAGTTATTTCATAAAAATAACTGTCCCCCTCTTCCAAGTTCCATTTGCTATGATGGTCAGACCAAAGCAATCTCTTACGATTCTTCTTCATTGCTTGAATGTAGAAACTTCTTCGTAAAGTTCTCAAGTTCATTTTCAAGTTGAACAGCTTTATTTCTAATTAAAAAAAAAAAATGGTGATCACAAAAGTCAGAAAATACATTCCTTCTACTCTAGAAAACTGAACTCAAATTCCACTACCAACCCTTTTCAGAATGCTTATCATATGTGCTCCTGTGGCTTTCTGGTAAACAGAAGACAGCTAACCCGTAAGTCACACAATCATGATTATCTTTAAGAATGCGATCAAATATAGGGAATACATAATGTTATTCATATATCTAAAAAATATAGGATATATATATATCTACACACACACCCAAAGAGGCTGGTAGATGTCAAAGGGGAATGAGAAAACAGAACACCTGGGGCCTCTGCATGTGACACCAACATCCAGTATGGGTGCAGGTTTGTGTGCCACTCCACATCCAGCTCGCAAATGCACCAGCAGCCCAGTAATTCGGGAAATGAGCCAGCAGATGGTTCTTAGCAAGGTGCAGTTACAACAAGGGATCTTCCTTCCCTGGTTCATTCCCCAAACAGTCCCAGCAGTGACAGCTGGGCCAGGAGCTTCTCCCAGGTCTCCAACATAGGTACAGGAGTCCATGGACATGGCCATTTTTCACTGCGTCCCCAGAACATGAGCAAACCTTCCCACACACGGGATGCCGGTGTTGCAGGCAGCAGCTTCACACATGAGGCCACAAAGCTGGCCCTTCACATGGAAGTGGCACTCTCCTCCCTTCCTCCCTCCCCCAACCTAGATACAGGAGAAAAGGCAAAAAAAGCGAAAACCGGAAATGTTTGTCCTAGCCACCTGCCCCATGCCTTGACCCACCCCATCCTCATCAGTGGTCCTCATGAGCATGCATCCTTACCAACTATGCAAACATAACAAAAAAAAGCCAGCCCCCAAAGTTCATCTTTAAACAATCCTCTCTGCCCCCACCCCGCCAAAAAAATAATGTGCTTCGTTCCAACAGCAGAGATGAAGGGATGCTCAACCATTTTTCCAGACATGTGGCAAACCAGAAAGCTGAAACAAGAACAGCTAAGTAAAAGCTTGAGGGGTGAAACCTCCCATTTTATCAGACCCAAAGAATCTTGAATATTGAGCCAGAAATTCATATTTTATTAGGAAGTCTTTGTTTTGCTTTTATTACTTCAAATTTAAGAACACCCAACACTCCCCATGAGAAAAAAAAAGCTATGGGTGTTGGTCATATAGGTCTTTAAACTCAACTTTTATTCTTTTAATTTCAACTATGTTTTAGTAGTTGATAGATAAATCTTTGTATCATTGAAGGAAAAAAAATTAAATACCTTAAAAGCTTTGAATTGTTTTGGATTTTCTCCAGCTGATCTACTTCTTTGGATAATCTAGCAATTTCTTCTTCCAGATGTCTTTGAGTAATATCAACTTGTTGGCACAGGCGAGCAAAAGTGGTAGCCATTTCCCTTAAAATAACATTAACAATCATGAATGAGCCTTAGTGGAAACTTTATATTAAAAGAACACTGAGTTTTAAAACAGAATCTCTAAGACTGTTAGAGAGGGTATGACACTCTTTTAAGCTTGATTTTGTCTAGTGCCAAATACAGATGCCTGGGTCAGGGCAGTGGTGTGCTAGGTCAAGCCTTAGCCTGTGGCGCCAGCATCCCGTATGACACCACATCAAGCCCCAGCTGCTCTACCTCCGATCCAGTTCCATTCCTAGAGCTGGGAGAGCATCAGAGGATGGCTCACGCCCATGGGTCCCAGCATCCACCTGGGACAAGAAAACTCCAGGTTCCTGGCTTCAGAATGGCTGGGCTCTGACTTTTGTGGCCTTTGGGGGAATGATCCAGTGGATGGAGGACCTGTCTGCCTCTCTGTAAATCTGCCTTTTGGATAAAAAAAAAAAAAAAGACAAATGCCTAAGAGGTAATGAGGTAATATTACCTCTTCTATATGGATGTGAACATGATGAATAAGGCATGAAAATGCAGACAGGTGGGCCTGCAAGATGGCTCAGTGGTTGAAATCCTTGCAAGTATAGGGATCCCATATGGGCACCCGTTTGTGTCCCAGCTATTCCACTTCCCCCATCCAGCTCCCTGCCTGTGGCCTGAGAAAGCAGTCGAGGACAGCCCAACGCCTTGGGACCCTGCACCCAAGTGGGAGACCCAGAGGAGTTCTTGGCTCCAGATCGGTGCAGCTTCGGCCATTGTGGTCATATTAGGAACTGAACCAGTGGCAGGAAGATCTTTCCCTTTATCTCTGTAAATCTTCCTTTTCAGTAAAAATAAATGAATCTTTTTTTTTAAGATTTATTCATTTTTATTACAAAGTTAGATATACAGAGAGGAGGAGAGACAGAGATAAAGATCTTCCGTCCAATGATTCATTCCCCAAGTGAGCGCAACGGCCAATGCTGCACAGATCTGGAGCCAGGAGCCAGGAACTTCCTCCAGGTCTCCCACGCAGGTGCAGGGTCCCAAGGCTTTGGGCTGTCCCTCGGCTGCCCTCCCAGGCCACAGGCAGGGAGCTGGGTGGGAAGTGGAGCAGCTTGGACCAGAACTGGTGCCCGTATGAGATCCTGGCGCAATCAAGGCGAGGACTTAGCTGCTAGGCCATGCCGCCATGCCCCAAAAATAAATAAATCTTTAAAAAATGATTTAAAAAAGAAAAGGCAGATAGGTATTTTTCTTCAGAAGCATAAACATTACTTTTACTGGGAAGCTTATTTCCTGGTAAACTTCCAAGGACAGTATAGACAGGAACTCCAGTAACTCCAGTGACACAGACAAAAATACATTAACACAGTGAGATTTAGCCAAGTTTCTAGCAGAGTTCCATTCAATTTGATTTCTGGCTCATGTTAGCTTTGGAAAATATCATATAACATATTTTGACGACAGCAAACATGGCGTGCGTGTGCGCGCCTCCAGACCATGGTCAGCACTGACTCCCCGCAGCTGCGCTCCTGGACCTTCATCCCTTGTGCTTCCTCCTCTCCATCTTCTCCCACTCCACCAAATTCCAGTGTTGGACAAACGAAGCATGGAGTCATCTTGCTCAGGATCCCTATGGCCTAAGTACCTTCTAGAGCACATGCAGTTAGAATGCCTTCATCTTTCCACTGGATTACTTTGTACTATCACTATTTTGTTCATTAAACTGCAGTGATCTCGACGTCAGGGAAATTTTAAGTTCTGCTTTCAATAGAAGTGTGCGTTATTTTTACTAATTACTAAAGAAATGAAACAGATACTCAAGATGTATGAAAGAAGCTGTGTATACCTACATATTTAGTATGTTATAATAAAATTCTCCTGAGATCTAGGAAATAACTTTAACACGTACAAACTGGGACTGCAACGATAAAAATGAATTCCCCCTGGCTGGCACTCACTGCTGGACTTGGTGGCTGCAGTTGGCACTCGTGAAGCTGACAATCATCTGCAGTTTTTCAGTTGCATAGTTCACAAACTGCTGCTTGAAGGCCCTCTCCTTGGCGCGGGTGGTCCAAGCCAGCCTCTCATAAAGATACAGGGCTCCATACATACTTAAGGAAACAGATATGAGTTTCCAGCCTACAGCTTTCCAAATCTGTAAGATAAAGGCATAGCTTACTCTGAGATAATAAATTTAAAAAGCAACAACAATCAGAAATACATTAAAAGGTACTGTGTAGGGCCTGGTGCGATAGCCTAGTGGCTAAAGTCCTCGTGTTGTATGCGCCGGGATCCCATATGGGCTCCAGTTCATATCCTGGCTGCTCCAGTTCCCTTTCAGCTCCCTGCCTGTGGCCTGGGAAAACAGTCGAGGATGGTCCAAAGCTTTGGGACCCTGCACCTGTGTGGGAGACCCTGAGGCAACTCAGGGCTCCTGGCTTTAGATCAGCTCAGTTCCAGGTATTGTGGCCACTTGGGGAGTGAACCACAAATGAAAGATCTTTATCTCTCCTTCTCTCTGTAAATATGTTTTTCCACTAAATAAATCAATCTTAAAAAGGTAATGTGTAGCAGGTCAGTGTTGTGGCACAAGTTAAGCCATAGCCAGTGACACCAGCATCCCATCCAAGCACTGGTTCAAGTCCAGCTGCTCTGCTTCCAATCAATATTCCCGGGGCAAACAGCAGGGGACGACACAAGTGCGTGGGCGCCACCAGCCACCAGGCAGACCTGGAAGGAGACCCTCCCAGCTGATGAAGCAACGTAGGGAGTGAACCAGCACAAGGGAAAATCTGTGTCTCCCCCTCTCCCTCCCTCTTTCAAATAAAATGTTCTAAAAGGGGTTAAATGCCTACCCTTCCTGGTAGGTCTCCAGTCAGTTATATTTTCTTTTTCTTTTTTTTTTTTAAGATTTATTTACTTTTATTGCAAAGTCAGATATACAGAGAGGAGGAGAGATAAGAGAGGAAGATATTCCGTCCGATGATTCACTCCCCAAGTGACCACAATGGCCGGTGCTGTGCTGATCCAAAGCCAGGAGCCAGGTACTTCCTCCAGGTCTCCCAGGCAGATGTAGGGACCCAAGTCTTTGGGCCATTCTCCACTTTCCCAGGCCACAAGCAGGGAGCTGGATGGGAAGTGGAGCTGCTGGGATTAGAACTGGCACCCATATGGAGTCCTGGTGCCTTCAAGGTGACGACTTTAGCCACTAGGCAATGCCGCCAGGCCCTGGTCAATTATATTTTCTAAAAATATATATTCATTCTCGATGAGAAAAACTTAATTATTCAAAATTCAATCAGGCTGAAAAGGAATCTGCCTCAGCACATAAGTACCAGGAAAGAACTTTTTTAACCTGTCAGATCTGTTGATTTAAGGCATCTCAGAACAAGAAAATTTTTTAGTTCAGAGGTTTCCAAATCAAAACATTTTTAATATGTCAGCAATATCAAAAAATTTTAAGATTTGGGTCTGGCATGATGGCTCAGAAACTAAATCCTCACCTTGCATGCCCAGGATTTGACATAGGGTGATATAGTTCATGACTGAGCTGCTCCACTTCCCATCCCGCTCCCTGCTTGTGGCCCGTGAGAGCAGTTGAGGACGGCCCAAAGCCTTGGGACCCTGCATTCACGTGGGAGACCCAGAACAAGTTCAGGGTTCCCAGCTTCGGACCAACTCAGCCCCAGCCTTTGTGGTCACTTAGGGAGTGAGCCAGTGGATGGAGGATCTTTTTGTCTCTCCTTCACTCCATAAATCTGATCTGCCTTTCCAGTAAAAATAAATATTTTTAAAATGATTTTATTTGAAAGTTACAGAGAGATGAGACAGGATGAGAGATCTCCCGTCTCCTGGTTCATTCCTCCAAATGGCTGCAATGACGAGGCTGGGCCAGGCCGACGTCAGGAACCTACAACCCCATCCAGCATTCCCACATGGGTGCAGCGGCCCAGGCGTGTGGACCATCTTCTGCTTCCCTAGGCACATTAGCAGAGGGCTGCCAGTCTCAAAGTGGTGCTATGTAGGACGCCTGCACCTTGGGCTACCCCACAATACAGCCCTAGTACGATCCCTGCTTCCCCTCTCAGGGCGCCTAGGCTCCAATCCTGGCTCTGCGCTCTCTTCTACCTTCTTGCAAATGGACATCCTGGGAGGCACTGGTGCTACGGAGCTACCTGGGTCTTGTCACCACATCGGGGACTGGGCGTGAGTTCTAGGTTCCTACTATGACCTGGCTTATCCCTGCTTGTTTCACGCATTGGTGAGTGGAACACTTGACAGAACTTTGGCATTCTGCCTTTCAAATAAATAAACTAACATTTAATACTTTCAGATGTATTGCCCTGACATTCAGAGAAAGCTAAATGGGACACTTAGTCCTTTTATGTTACTCCAATGTACAAGGAAGTAATTAAGAGGTAGTTTTAAAAACTAGATAGCTGGTGATATTTCTAAAGATACATGTGTACACACAGATATACAGATATGAGCATATTAAAATCTAAAATCAAACTTCTGAATTTACTACTTGTAACAGTTTCGTATCACTTTAAAGATCCTTACTAGAAATAAAAACAAAATACACCTTTCGTGATCTAACAGGCAGCTTTACGAACATTTCAGGTTGTATTGTACTAGTGTTTCTTACCACTCCTCCGATGACAATGATGCCCATGGAAGTTCTGGACGTGAGAGAAGCTAATGCTGTTATTAAGGTCACCATGAGTTCTTCCTGCGACGCGTTATCTGGCACTGCCGGATTGGCAGGAGCAGTGGGAGTAGAAGCCAAAGACCTAGGGAGCTAATCAATTTGCAGGAGAAAAAGATTAGTACATTTAATTGTAAATGAAATACTTACATACTTCTAATACCTATAAAATTTTCCTATATTTCTGCAAAATTCTTACTAAATCTATGGAAAAAAATAATGGCTATGTCATAAATATACAAGAAAATAGAACAGTTAAACATTGTTTTAACAATCAGTCCTGCCAAACAGTAATTTTCATATTACACACTAGGTTAAATTTTTAACTCTCAGGAATTAGAGCCCTTTTTTTAAAGTCTTATATCAAAAGCACAATTTTTTAGAAATCAAGAAAGTAAGACTTTTTGTTAAAAACAGGTACCTTTTAAATTTCACATTACAGCAAGGGAAACAGAAGGACAAGACTTTAAAAATATATTTGGAAATCATATATCCGTCTGATAGAAGAAATATTAACTAGATTATATATGATCAAGAAAAATATGGCGTTTGTAAAACCAGAAACATAAATGTTCACAGCAGTACTCACAATAGAAAATAAAAACCCAAGTGTCCAATTGATGAACAGATCAATGTTTTTTTCTCTAACAAAATATTACTTGGCCATAGGAAGGAGACACTAGCACCATACAGATAAACCCTAAAGTCAACCACATAGGACTCGTGTTTTACTGATTTGAAAGGCAGAGTTGCAAAAAAGAGGGAGAGCCAGAGAAACAGCTCTTTCATCTGCTGGCCTGCTTCCCAAATGACCACAACAGCTGGGGCCGGGGCAGGCTGAAGGCAGGAGCTTCCTCCGGATCTCCCACACGGGTCCTGGGCCATCCTCTGCTGCGTTCCCAGGAGCATTAGCACTGAACTGGATTGAACCAGAGCAGCCAGGCATCACAGGCCGCAGCACACCAGCCCAGGCCATATTTTTATGTAATCCCATTTACAGGAAATGTTCAGAAAGGACAAACGCAGGTGTTGGCATCATGGTGTACCAGGTTAAGCAATGCCTATTACATTAGCTTCCCATCTGGGTGACAGTTTATGTTCTGCAGCTCTACTTCCTACATAGCTCCCTGCTAATATACCTGGGAAATAGTGGTATACGGCCAAAATTTTTAGGCCCTGCCTGGCACTCCTGTGGGAGACCCAGATGAAGCTCTTGGCTTCAACCCTAACCACTGTAGCCACCTGAGGAGCAAACCAGTAGATGGAAGATGCCTCTCTCTTCAAACATATATATATATATATATATATATATATATATATATATATATATAAATATAAGCAAAGGTAGATATGTGGTGGGAGTGGAGGCAGGAATATGATTAACTACAAATGGACATAAGGGTCTTCTTGGGTTCACAGAATGTAAAACTCAAATGTGCTGGTTTTATTCTATTTTGTGTAAAGCAACTGCATTTATTCTAAGTTATCTGAACTCTGAAAACCAAAATTTTTTTTTTTATTATTATTTTTTTTATTGGAAAGGCGGATATACAGAGAGGAGAGACAGAGAGGAAGATCTTCCATCCGATGATACACTCCCCAAGTGAGCGCAACGGGTCGATACTATGCCGATCCAAAGCCAGGAGCCTCTTCCGGGTCTCCCACACGGGTGCAGGTTCCCAAAGCTTTGGGCCGTCCTCGACTGCTTTCCCAGGCCACAGGCAGGGAGCTGGAAGGGAAGCAGGGCTGCCGGGATTAGAACCGGCGCCCATATGGGATCCCGGGCGTGCAAGGCGAGGACCTTTAACCACTTGCGCCACCGCGCCGGGCCCGAAAACCAAAATTTTTAAGAAAATAGAAAACAGTGTCAAAAAATGAATGTGGAACCACCTAAAACAATATTGGATAAAAATCTTTCAGGTGGCCCTTCCGTTTTGGCATGGTATACCTAACACAGAAACAGGAAACAGACACAAATAAATGTATAGATTTGGTAAAGCTCATTATATTAGAAAAATCAAAAAAGAAAAAAAAAATGGAGAGTTCCATATGGTAGAATCAAGCTCAATACCTGAAAGATAGGCTCTGATAATCCCAGGAGCACCCTCTGTGCGTTTGTGTGGCCAAGGAATCGATGTACAAGGGAAGACCAGCCCAGAGAAAAACGGAATACAATATCCTCTTGGAAATCTGAACATAGTTTGTGGCAATTCAGGTCATAGCTGAGATCAAATTTCTTGCATGGGACCAGTGTATGTAGATTATTCTGTATACCAGCTGGAAGCAAAGGCTTTAAATTTTCTAGAGAAAACAAAACGATGACATTTATTTTAACAATCAGAAAAAAATGTTTTTATCTTCTAGGAAATAGACAAAGGAAAGCAGACCAACACTATCACACTATGTGTAGGCATAAATATTACCAATAATTTCCTGCTGGGATTGAAGCATTGAGGCATTAACTTCACTGGTGCACCGATCAGCCAAATTTCTTCCCATACCATCTTCTATGTGCTTATTTAACTCCTGTTAACAACAGTATATGTCTACATTATTTCTTCTCCAGGAAAACTTGCTGAAGTACAATGTCTACCCCTCAGTATAATATTTAACTTACACTTTTATATACTTTCAACACACTTGGAGTAGGATGAAACTCGGAACAAAATTCATCAACCAAGACAGACAGCCGACAAATTTCATCTGTCATTGCACAGGAAACCTGAAAATATAAAAAATCTTAAAAATATTCCTCTAAGCTAAGGAATAACATTTATAAAAATGAAAAAAAATGATTGCATTTTCAAATATTTTAAGAATACAGTTACTGTCACTCACTTTATTTGCCACCTCCTCAGTAACCGCCTTAATTTTCTTCTTAACATCCAATGTCAAAAGGTTCATCTGGTTCCGTATGAAGTCCAGTCTATCAATCTGATCTTCCCTCTCTTCCAGGGAATAGACTCTATCATGGTATGCAGAGTAATCAATGTTCAGGGCATATTAATGTCCCAAAACAATCAAGCAATGACTCACGTTAAATGTATTGAACCAACTATTAGTAGGACATAAGAAAAAAGAAATCCTGAATACCAACAAAATTCAAATATTTTAATTACAGTTAATTCAGCCAGCTTCCAGTTTTTATTAAGTTTTTTCTGGAACAGTCACAAGTATTTGTTCACTATCTAAGGCATGTGACTTTTGCTCTAAAGCTGCAAAAGAGTATGATTCTCAAAGCCTAAATTTACTAACTTCTTTTTACAAAGTTTGCTGGTTAGGCCAGTGTGCCAGTATAGCACCACAGTTCTCAGCCTGCAGTGCCAGCATCCCAAATAACACTGGCTGTTCCACTTTGCATCCAGCTCCCTGCTAAAACCTGGGAAGGCAGCAGAGGATGTTTAAGCACTTGGGCACTGCACCTACATGGGAGACTCAAAAGAAGCTCCAGGCTCCTGGCTCTAGATCATCTCAGCTCTGCCACTGTGACCATTCAGGGAGTGAAACAACGAATGAAACATCTCTCTCCTGTCCCTCCTTCGCTCTGTCAATCTGCCTCTCAAATAAAAATAAATAAACCTTAAAAAAAAAAATCTGTTGATTCCTAGAAGACATAGGAAAACAAGATCTTAAGATCCTTACACTATATATTTTTAAATTTTTACTGGAAATGCAGATTTACAGAGAGAAGGAGAAACAGAAAGAACTTCCACTCATTGGTTCACTCCTCAAATGGCTGCAACAGCTGAAGTGGTGCTGACTCAAAGCCAGGAGCCAGGAGCTTCTTCCAGGTCTTGAAAGCCGGTACACCGTCCCAAGGTTTGGAGCCATCCTCCACTGCTTTCCCAGGTCATACATAGGGAGTTATATGGCAAGTGGTGCAGCCAAGACATGAACCAGCACCCATATGGAATGCTGGAGCTGCAATGCAGAGGATTAGCCAGTTGAGCTATTGTACCAGTTCAGAGATCCTTTTAATATCTTAAGCAAAAGCTACATAACTATGGTTATATACATAGCTATGGTTACATAAGCTACATTCAAATATATCTTCTGTGTGTCATATTTACTTTTACTTTAACATCATATATAGACTGATGCAAATATAGTTTTACATATTATTTATATATTTCAAAGGCAGAGAAAGCCCCCATTCACTGGTTTGCTCTCAAATGCCCTCAACAGCCCCTGGCTGGGACCAAAGCCAGGAGTTAGGAACTCAACGCAGTCTCGTCCCATGGGTGGCAGGCAGCCAGTCTGCTGAGTCATCATCCCTGGGTCTGTGTTACCAGTTGGCTGGGGCCGAGAGCAGAGCCAGGTTTCAAACCCAGTATGAGACATGGGCATCTTAACCACCAAGCCAAACACCCAACAATAATGTCCTATATTTTTTAAATTAAAATGATCCATCCATTAGACCGAATTGGGGACATTATAATAAAGCAACTGAGCTGGCAGGGACTCTAGTAACACAACTTCATTATCCAGAAGCTGAGATCAAACCCAAATTTCTTAGCTCTGGGTTTTACATGCTAGCAGGTATCTACTGCACATGGTGGGTTTCGAAAAAGTCCCCAAATCATGTAATACTTAGAAAAGGAGGGAATGTTGTTCCCAGCAAGGGAAAATACATTTGGACTTTAATATTTGATAATTTGTTTCCAACTGAGATTTAACATGGCCCCTTCTGTCCTGTCTGATGACGTCCTGATCTTTGCTTCAATCACCAAGTCTGTTGAGACAGTGTGGGTTCTTGGAATCATTCATTTCCAATTGATAAGAAATAGAATAATACAGTACAGTATGACATATAAGGGTATTATTTACCAGAGCAATATTTCAGTTGGGAGGCACTATTACCTTATTTGTTCACCAGATGATAACACACACATAGCATAAAAGAATAATTTCAAGGTGATCAGTGTATGAATATAGCAAAGGAGGAGGCATGGCTGAATGCATGTTCTGGACTTGAAGAACAGACGCCTTCCACTGCTTTAAAGATGCTTGAAAGCCACTGAACAGTTTCAAATAATAAATCATACCGGCAATACTGAGATCCAAGGAATAGAAATGATTTGTTCAGGATTATATTTACACTTTCAAATATTCATTTAAAAAACAAACATCAGTTAAATTCACATTGTTAACTCTGGTGGGAAAAATCTTAGTTTTAACAAGTCTGACACACAAAAAAGCTAACATTTTTATTGCAATAAAATGAGCAATGCATACCTTCTCTCTGCTGCTCCCACGTTTATTGAATCCATTATGTTTTTCACTGTATCTAGTATCTGTTTAGCTCTGATAGTGTGCTGTTCAAACTTTGTTTTCACTGCTGACTGCGAGATACACTCCTGCGAGGGGCCCAAGCCATAACACATTACTGTAATTCCATCACAACATTTTCAGGAATTTAAACACAAAAAACTTGCTGTCTGTTAACTTAAAACATAAATAAGGAAGGAAAATAAATTCAAATACAAACAGAACTTTAAGTTATGAAACATAAAATTACGAAGAATCAAAATAAAATAAATTTTAACAGCAAGTTCATATCTTTGTGTATTGTTACACAGTAATGTGCAGTGGTCTGACTATAACAAGGAAAAAAATAAACAAATGGCACTGTTTGTGCTAAGATTCTCCAACAGCCCTGCTCATTTTGTGTGGCTCTCTTAATCTAATTCTATTCCATCTATCTTGATTTTTCTCACACTTGTAATAACCTAAACAAAGTTCATAACTGAATTGTGAATTAGTATTCCACCTTTTTTCAAAAATTAGTTAAGGTTATTATTGATGTTATGTTACTAAAAAGCATGCCCACTGATTAGAAGTGAACAACTTTAAAAAGTCTTCAGTGACCCTGATATATTTCCTAATTCATTTTCTTGAATTTTGTATCATTAGCTAGTACAAGCTTTAGTGAATAATTCCTGATTTTCAATATAGTCTTTTCTTGGTAAAAATGAACATCTCCCAAGCTTTAAAATAATATTCACCTAAAATTACATCATTATTAGAACTACATATCAGTACATATTAGTATTACATAATTCGAAAGTTATCAATATAAAAGATGGATTCCCAAAGAAACTGTTGGACAAGTGTAGACAATAAGATGCTGAACTGTCTGACATTGTCTGTACCAACAATGTCGGGGCACACTTAAATAAGAAACTGATAGAATTATGATTCCTTATGAAGGACTACACTATTCTAACAAAATGGGAAAAATCTGATAGGGGTTGGGAGTTGAGGGGGGAATCCCCGCCTATATGAAATTGTACCACATAATTCAAAACTCAAAATAAAAATACATTCAGTAAAAAATAAAGTTATCAATGTTACATAATCACTTGTAACCTTATGCTTAAGTGTTCATGTCAGCAATTAATTTCTGGGCCTGGTATGGTAGCCTGGTGGCTAAAGTGCTTGCCTTGCACTCGCCAGGATCCCATATGGGCACCGGTTCTAATCCCGGCAGCCCTGCTTCCCATCCAGCTTCCTGCTTGTGGCCTGGGAAAGCAGTCGAGGACAGCCCAAAGCCTTGGGACCCTGCACCCACATGGGAGACCCAGAAGAGATTCTGGGCTCCTGGCTTTGGATCAGCTCAGCTCCGGTTATAGCTGCTGCTTGTGGAATCAATGGATGGAAGATCTTCCTCTCTGTCTCTCCTCCTTTCTATATATCTGACTTTCCAATAAAATTAAAAAAAAAAAAAAAGAAATTAATTTCCATTAGTAAAAAATCTGTCATTTTGGCTCTCTCCTTTAATTTTGTTTGAAGTCAAGAACACAGAAACAGATTCATTTCTTTAGCTACAGGGCACATGAGCGTACTTTAGTCAACAGGTGACAAAGCGGGTTCAGCTCACACTCCCCAGTATCACAGAGCTTTATCTCTACCCGAGGGGCATCACTATTCCTCCAATCACTGTGACTCACTCAATTTCACAACTGATGAGTGGACATTGTTCCCCATCTGTGTGTGCCCAAAGAAAATGTCAAACGCTGCTATATACTTCCTCCTTTAAAACCACAATTATGTCACGCTAAACTTCTGAATAGTAAACTACTTAATTTATAATGACCATAACTTTGGTTTCATGTTAAGTGATCATCTCATAAATGTGCCAAGTTAAACTCCAGAAAAAAATTGTAATGAAAGCATAAAAATATTTTAAAAGAGAAAAACTAAAAGAAATTCTATGTTCCTCGATGAAGCAGATCTAGATATCAGCAATGAAGATGTAAATGTGTGGGCACAGCACAGTGTTAGAGCTAGACAAGACAAGGGGAGACATCTCCACAGTTATCACACAATGCTACTTCTCAATCAAAAACATGTGACAATGGATAAGTACAGATGAGAACAGCATCTTCTTCTAATTAAAATGCATCCCACCAGTTTTCCCATTGGTCTGTACAGTATTAAGAGGTACCCTGAAAAAGGAACATGCTATTCACAAATGCAGTATTGGGAATAAGCCCAATAGTTTGTATTCTGGGTCAATTCTTAGTATCCTTCATATATATTTATACATATATGAACCTCCTCAAGAAACATCCACATATTATGGGAAGCACTTCCCAGACTTATTTCATTGGGAACCCTACATTTCCAAGATATTTAAAATACTAAGCAAATTCAAATGCCAGCTTGTCATAGTGTCCTACTGCAGACTATTGAAAAGCTTCAGCATTTATTCACATCCTAATTAAGACAGTTTTGATTTCTCCAAAACATGTACAGGAGCTGATAATCACAGTTATATATTTGAAAACATCAGAATTTATCTGTATAGTTTTAAAAACATAACCAACAACCTTATCAAGTCTCCTTGACAAGAAGTCCCACAAACACTGACTCCCAAGTATTATTTCAATATAATATTGAAATAATAATGCCAGTATACTTTTTAATCTAGAAGTTCAACAATTTCAGTCTCGCTTGCTTGCCTCTCCCTTGCTTTACACAAGTCTAACAGTTTCATTCATTATTTCCTTCCCTTGCTAAACAATTTCACAGGTCACTGCAACCATTATGACCTCATTGCTAAATACACACCAACACTGTCTTCTAAAGGGGGGGATACCTTCTCACACATTCGCCAGACAGCTATATTTAAAACATTCACCGCTGGGACAATACTATTACCTAACACTACTCCACATTCAAATTTCACCCATCACCCCAGGAATATCCTTTACCACAAACATTAAAGACATCTTAGAAAAGAATTATTTTATAATCCTATTTCCTCAAATAACCAAAAATTAAAAATAGAGATGGGAAAATATGTTTAAAAATAAGAATGATAGAAGCTTCTCAACAATTAGAGACCCTTTATCAACACAGTGGGTTTTCTTAAACAAGTCTTCATCTAATGGTCTTTTCCCCTTTCATCCAAAATAAAGATGAGGAACAGTAAACAAATTATTTATTTTAAAAAATTTGCCACGTACAGTCATTACTCACATCTCTTTTTAAGGGAGTTACTACTTACATGGAAGAATAGCTACAGATGGAAGTTTCTTCAATTCTCAGGTTTTTGTTTCGACTCATAAAGACAAGGTGACATGGAATCTATGCAGAATTATATTAACTAGGGCTAAGTAAGAGTTTAGATTCCCAGATTCCTAATGAATCAGAGCTATATCAATTATTTTTGTATTCATTCATTTGCTCAGCAATCTTTCACAAAATGTGCAGATGAACAAGTAACAAATGTCTGAGTAAAATTTTACCAAATTAACATTAGCCACGGTCTGTATCTCTATAAATAGTATAACAAAAAGAAAAAAGATGATTTTCACTCCGCTGTGTTATAACACAATCATTTGTCCTAGCTCCACATGGCTGAACATGGAATTTCATTAACTGCAAAACCTAGGCAAAACTGGAAAACAGCTTCTCCTTATACGAGTAAGTATTTAAGGAAAAACAAATTAGGATCTTTAATTCTCAATGCTTACACATCATCCATTTTGCACGGGTTTCCTTTCTTGCAAATTTCCTTCTTTCAGTAACTGCACTAAATAACAGCAAAGGTTACTGACAAAGATAAGTAACAAAGATTTCACTCTCCAACCAATATGAAAGTTTTACATTAGCCAATACAGTCACAAAATTCCTACCTCAAAGATTTGTTCAAAATTCTGAAACTCCTGTAGCCTTGCCTGAAATCCTTCAGCAAGTGCCCCACCTGCAATACACGGGCAAAGACTGTAAAATCTAGTAGAGTCATCCACAATTATCAAGGGGATTATGTTCCAAAAATTCCAGTGGGTGCCTAAAACCGAGAGTGCTATTAAGACTTAGCCACACTGCACTGGGCTTTTTCCTGTACATACAGAGCAATTTAACCCATTTTCCACCATCACTAATCACTTCTCATGCACTGTGGCCATAACTTTTGTGGTTGGAAATGCAACAGCAAGATTAACACAAATTTCTTTTTCCTTGTTCTCATTTTTGTGGACAGAAGATTCATTCTTACCATTGACCTTAGCAAGCTCAGCACACAACTTCTTTCTTCCCTAATCGAGACAAGAGTTTTCAACTTTTCTCTTAAACAAGCAGTCTAAGTTTGTCTTTAGCACATATCCAACTTTCCAGAATTACTATTCTTGAAGTTTGCAGTCACAAAGAAAACAAGGGTTACCTGAACATAAATAAGTACTACAATCATCATTCCATCAACTTGGTAAGTGATAACAAAGTGACTAAAAGGTGGATAGCATATCCTGCACAGAACACTGCACAAACATATCCTGGCGAGGGCAAGATATCACTGCAATATTCAGAACAGCACAGAATTTAAAACATTTCTGTTTCTGGAAATTTCCACTAATGTTTGCAGAGTGGGACCATGGAAAGAAAAGTCATAAAACGGAAGAGCCAGTATATATAGTAAGATAAGATGCTGTTTTCAAAACCTATACTTGTACTTCAAAGGAAACCTGTAATTATACATACCACCTTCTGGCATTCCCTGTGCTTTATGCTTTCTTGCACTAAGAACTTCTTTTGCTGAAACAAAAAAGATACGATTCTGTGCTTCTAATGGACCCACAACTTTGAGCTCATCCACCAAGAAATGCAGGCATCTTTCCATGTGCTGCCTACGTACCTACAAAGAAAAAAAGAATATCAAACAAATATGAAAAACTTCAACAAACGTAAGTAAAACCAGCTACAGACCGATATTACATTTATAATGAACATTTAGTAATAGTTCCCAAATTCTTGACAAGTCTGTGAAATTTCAATAAATAAAGTTTGATGTTCTAATAAAAGGACATCTTTTTCTTAAATTAAGCATTCTCTTTTGAGCAAGTATTTAAATTTCTGATGGATCATCACCAAACCCTACACAAGTATTATAAAACATTACAGACAAGCACACTGCACAGCAGTGTAAGCATCCTGTACAACACTAGTGTCCCACGTGAACTGCAGTTGGGAAGGCAGCAAACGACGACCCAAGTGCTCGGGACCATCACCCACACGGCACACACAGATGGAGTGCCCAGCGCGCAGCTTCAGCTGGACCAACCTGGATGCTGCAGCCTTCTGAGGAGTGAACTAGCAATGGAACATATCTCTCCTTATTTCTCTCCCTATATATAACTCTTTTTTTTTTTTTTTTTTTTTTTTTATTGTTGCTTACACTGTATTATGTAGTACAGTTTTATAGGCGCTGGGGATTCCCCCCACCCCTCCCCATACCCCTCCCCCCATGGTGGATTCCTCCACCTTGTTGCATAACCATAGTTCAAGTTCAGTTGAGATTCATTGCTTGAAAACACATGCCTAGCATAAAGTTCAGCGTCTTATTGTCCAGATAAGTTCAGTGGCCTCTTGGGGAGACCTTCTATGGTCTGAAGATAGGTCTAACAGAGTAAAGATCCGGTCAGTTAAAAGCCCCAACAAGGCCTCAGTATCAATATACAACATTATGGAATTAATTGACATAGTAATGGGTAAACAATATGTTAAGAATAATGCGAGTTCCATTCTTCGAAACATCTGGGTTGAGACAGTATCAATGACAGGTTCAAAAAATAACAAACAACCAAACAAAAAATTACAGGTTAAATCAAGGCAAACATGTGGTATCTAATCTTTTGGGATTCACTCATTTCCCTTAGCATTATAGTTTCCAGTTGTGCCCATTTAGCCACAAAGAACTGCAATTTGTTTTTTTTAATAGCTGAGTAGTATTCCATGGAGTAGATGAACCAAAGCTTTCTTATCCAATCTTCTGCTGATGGGCATTTCGGTTGCTTCCATGTTTTTGCAATTACTGATTGTGCTGCAATGAACATAGGGATGCATGTTGGTTTGTCGTAAAACTGGTGTTTTGGATATATTCCTAGGAGTGCTATTGCTGGGTCATATGGCATGCAGATTCCGAGTTGTTTGAGTGTTCTCCAGACTGATTTCCATAAAGGCTGTACCAATTTGCAGCTCCACCAGCAGTGGAGTAGGGTTCCCTTTTCCCCGCATCCTCGCCAGCAAGCGTCGTTGGTGTTCTTGTTTATGTGGGCCAATCTTACTGGTGTTAGGTGGTACCTCATCGATGTTTTAATTTGGATTTCCCTTATTGCTAGGGAGCTGGAACATTTTTTCATATGTTTGTTTGCCATTTGGACTTGTTCCTTTGTGAAATGTTTGCCCATTTCCCTTGCCCATTTCTTGAGTGGCTTGTTTGTTTTGGTTTTTTGGTTGTTTTGAAGTTCTTTGTATATCCTGGAAATTAGCCCCCTATCGCCTATATCGTGTGCAAAGATCTTCTCCCACTCTGTGGGTTGCTTTTTTACTTTGTTGATTGTTTCCCTTGCTGTACAGAAGCTTCTTAGTTTGATGAGGTCCCATTTGTTTATTCTGTTCTCAACTGCTATTGCTTTTGGTGTCCTTCTTAGAAAGTCGGAACCTACTCCTAGGTCTTGCAGTGTATTTCCTACATTTTCTTGTAAGAGTTTGAAGGTTTCTGGATGTAGATTTAGGTCTTTTATCCATGTAGATTGGATCTTAGTGTATGGTGATAGATGTGGGTCTATCCTTTTGTTTCTATATATAACTCTTTCAAACAACTATATACATCTTTGCAAAAAAAAAAAAATCACAGATAAGTGTTGATTCTAGTGGCACATAAAGTATCTCTCAATTTTCTATTAGTGACATATGTGGTTATGTCATTTTAAAAAACCTAAATATATGCAAATTAATGCTTCTGACAGACAACACTCAAAGCAAGGGTGATCCTCACCAATGTTTTTGAAAATGACTGTTCCCATGCCTGGGAGATGATGCAGTGCGACAGCAAGGAGTGGGGCACTTTCTCCTCCCTCTTCCAGTTCCCCCAAAACACAAGAGGGAAAACCAACATTTATCTCACCCATCTTCTGCCTCCCTGCACCCTAATGAGAACTGGAGACCCCAGGTGAGCCTCATGCTTCGGAAGAGCCTCAGCGTTTCCTGCTTCTGTGATTCCTGCCTTACCTGCTTGGCCGGGGGCAGTGTGAACTCCAGGCTTGACAGTCCACGTGACACCCAGCAGGACACCTGGGCGGTCACGTAGGCAGAGCACTCCTCAGGAAGGAGGTCCCTGGTGTTAGAGAAGACCCACTGCCCTATAGCTCGTCAGACTGTACATTTTCAAAGTTGCTTGCTTCAAATCTACCAATAGAAGTCTGCCAACTTACTCTTTTTAAAAGTTAACAGTTAAACTAACCAATCATGACTGTACAATTGTATGGAATTGGCCTGAAATGTATAAAAACCCTGTGCTGTTGAACCTCAGCCCTTTCTTTCCTCAGGCCCTTCTTCTGCCCTTTTTGCTGCTGATGCTGATTCGGTTGTTGCTGCTCCCCATCCTGTGGGGGCGAAGGGGGGGAGGCGATGGCTGGGAGCCTAGTTTAGTTTGAATAAACTGCTTTTATGCATTTGCATTGGCTTCAGACCCCTGATGATTTTCTGGCGTTTGCAAAATCTGGCTAATCCTAGGCATCACCTATGGGAACCAGTTCATGTCCTGGCTGCTCCACGTTCCATCCTGCTCCCTGTTTTTAGCCTAGGAAAGTATCAGAGGATGGCCAAAATGGTGAAACCATGCACCAGTGTGGGAGACCAGAAGAAGCTCCTGGCGCCTAGCTTCAAAGCAGCTTAGTTCTGGCAGCTGCAGCCATTTGGGGAATAAACAGATAGATCTCTCTCTCTGTCTCTCCTTCTCTCTGTAAACCTGCCTTTCCAATAAAAATAAAATCTTGAACAACCACAACAAAAAGGAATCAAAGGGTCACATGATTGTATAAGTTCCTCACCTTTATAATAAATATTTAGAAGTTTTTAAAAATTTATTTATTTTTATTGGAAATGGAGAGACAGAGAGGAAGATCTTTGTCTGCTGGTTCACACCCCGAGTGGCCACAACAGCCAGAGCTGAGCCAATCCGAAGCCAGGAGCCAGGAGCTTCTTCTGGGTCGCCCACGCAGATGCAAGGTCCGAAGGCTTAGGGGCATTCTCGCTTCATTCCCAGGCCTGCTTTAAGCAGGGAGCTGGAAGTAGAATAGCCGGGTTAAGAACTGGTGCCCATATGGGATCCCGATGCATGCAAGGCAAAGATTTAACCACTAAATGACTGGCACAGTAAATATTTAAAGCTAAAAGTCACTATCAGCTATCAGCATTATGTCTAACATAAAAGATTTCTTTGTTACAATTTAGGAAAATTAAGCTAAGGTGGAATGCTGAGCTCCTGGGGGAGATTAATTTGTTGGTGGTATTTTCTAATTTTCCAATGATTAAGTGAATCCCAATTGAAATTATATAATTACAGGAAATAATAAAAGATACAAAATTGTGTGTTAGATAAAATTCCAACTTTGGGGGAAATAAAATCAAATAATCTAAATATGAACAATTATGGGAGAGAGGAAGTTTTATTTTCTAAGCTTTCTATCATACCTTTATACTATTATTAAAATCAAAAAGTGTCATGCAAATTACATTTTACAGAACAATGTCAGAAATTCTATTATTTTTAAGAAGTTTCTTTTTAGAGACCAGCCTTGTTACATAGCAAGTTGAGCCTCTGCAGAGCTGGCGTCTCATGAGGAAGCAGCAGCAGATGCAGCCCACGTGCTCAGGTCTCTGCCCACTGTGAGACCTGGAAGCTCCAAGCTGCTGGCTGCGCTGGCTTCAGCTTGGCCTTGCCTAAGCTGTTGCAGCCATTTGCGAAGTGAAGTAATAGATCAAGATTCTCTGTCTCTCATCCTCTCTCTGTATCTCTGTATCCTCTGACTTACAAACAGTTTGCTTTTTTTAATTTTAAAAAGACAAAATTTTTGTGCCCAGCACAGTAGCCTTGTGGTTGAAGTCCTCACCTTGCATGCACTGGGATCCCACATGTGTGCCGGTTCATATCCTGGCGGCCCCACTGCCCATCCAGCTCCCTGCTTATGGCCTGGGAAAGCAGAGAATGGATGACCCAAAGTCTTGGGACCTTGCACCCGCATGGGAGACCGAGAAGAGGCTCCAGTCTCTTGGCTTCAGATCAACTCAGGTCAGCTATTGCGGCCCTTTGTGGAGGGAATCAGCAGACAAAAATCTTCCTCTCTGTCTCTCTATGTATCTCTGACTTTCCAATAAAAATAAATATAAATTATATTAAAAAAAAGTTTTTGTAGCTACCAATGTGACTCAAATGAAACAATACAAAGTGCTGGTGAAGATGCTAATCAACCTGAATTCTCAATCCACCGATACAAGGACAAACTGACTTTACAAAACTCTTAGGCTCTGTTTACTGAAAGTAAATATATTCTTAACCTAAGATATCCTCAAATACTGGCCTCTACATTACTAATGCTTTGGGTCGCATAATCTTCAGAGGCTTGTATTGCATTGTAGGAATATATAACAACATCTATAGCCTCTACCTTGCAAGATGCAGTAACGCACTATCCCCGTTGACAACAAAAACATTCTCAGGTCCCACGGCCGCCATTCGGCAGCCGGGGTCCCCGGACCGGCCGCTTCTAACCCGGTGAGCTACCATGCAGTCCCCACGTCCACTCGGGGGGCCGCTAAGGGCGGCCAGTGCGCCAGGCTTTGCCTGCTGGCCGCCCGGCCAGGGAGCCCTGAGAATTTGGTTCTCTGAATGCTGCTCAGACAGCTCCATGCCGAAACTGCAGTGGTTTGGGGACACCAAGCAATCCTAAAGATTTCCAATGACAGTAAATCTTCCTCAGATGAACCTGCAGCTAATACGATCTCACCCCACATGTTTTGAATAATTGTAATTCCCAATATACTGCCAATTCCTTGTGATACACAGTAACTGGGGGGGAGCACAGAGAAATCTCTCATCTCCTTTGAAAAAGTTAGGAAGCCGCGTAGTGTAACCTACAGGAACTGGACAGGTATCTTAAAGTCGATAGATTCAGATCAGCATTAGACAATAGCAAATACTACAATGACATACAGGGGGAATCAGGAACGACCCAAACAATCTATTAACAGGTGGTCATATGCACAGAATAGGGGAGAACCTCAGAGCGGAACAGCGGGACGGGAGGAGGCTTATATCCCACCCATAAGGACTCCCGGACTCCCACCAAGGTCTATTAGAACGGACACCAAGAATGTCATCACAACTGCCAAAGAGAACACGGGGAACTGGAATGCCTCCGGATGCCAAGAACCCAGAGGACAGACGTCCCCACTCTTTGGACAAACTACACGAGATGGAAGAAGCCCGAGTCCTTCCACATAGGAACCAACATCACCAGAACAACAGCCAGGAACCACGATCGGTCATCAGAACCAGAAGATCAATAAACTTCCTGCGGGACAATGGGAGAGGAGCGTTCTCCAGTCCTTACCTAGTTCCAGCTCTGGGCCTCCACCCTCTATAATGACCAATAAGGTTCCTCCTGAACCCCTTCCCACCCAACACACACACACACACACACACACACACACACACACACACACACACACACACACACACACACACACACACATACACACACAATTAGGAATAGATAAGCAGAGAATAATAAAGAAAGATAGGTCATCAAGGACTCACACATGCCCTGCTAGATGGAACACAAAGAATACTCATCACCAAGGTATGAGAGATTTCTCTGCAAACCCCCCCAAACCCGTTATGAACCTCAATGGTTAAAATGTCATTGAAATAGTCGCAGGAGGTTGTGAAGAACTTACATGTAATTTTAACTAATTGTTTACTCAATAGTATGTCAATTAACTCCATAACGAAATATACTGTTGCTGCTGGAGCTCTTAATTGATCGGGATCTTGCTCTCTGGGCCATGCCTGCAGACCAGGGAAGGTCTCCCCAAGAGGCGGATGAACTTATCTGGATAATAAGATGCTGGACTCTATGCTAGGTATATGCTTGCGGTGAAGGTGTCTCAACTGATCTTGAACTGAGGCCGCACAACAGGGTGGAGAAATCCACCACGGGGGAGGGTTGGGAGGGAATCCCAGTACCTATGGAACTGTATCCCATAAGCCAATGTAACCACTAAGTTAAAAAAAAAAATTCTCAGACATTGAGGAATACTTTCTGGCGGTCACAGTCACACAACCCCACACTGGCAATTATCCACATATTCCCAATTAAAATGCATACATATGCACACAGAAAGACACGTACAAAAAATTACACAGAATCATTATTCGTATTAGCTAAATATAGGAACTTTACCCAAATTCCTACCATTAGTATATTCAAATTATAGAATACTATTCAGAATGAAAATACGCCAGGGGTCCTATTTTCCTTAGTGGGTTAACCTGCTGCAATTCCAGCATCCCATCTGGACACAACTTGAGTCCTGCTGCTACACTTCTCACACAGTTCCCTGTAAAACACCCAGGAAAGTGGCAGAGGAAGACCCAAGTGCGTGGGCCCCCACACCTGTGTGGGAGACCCAGCTAAAGCTCCAGTTCTGCTACTGGAGCATCTGGGGAGTATACCACTGGATGGAAAATCCCTTTTTCTCCCTCCATATTTCTGCCTCTTTCAAATAAATATTTTTTTAAAGGAAGAAAAGAAAATGCATTGCAACATCACATAACAATATATATGTTTACAACAATATATTTGATCAAAGAAACCAGAAAAGTCAGATACTCTGATTCTGTCCCGTAAAACTGAATACCAGAAAAAGTTATCTTGTTAGAAATCATGGTTTTCATTAAGAGGAAGGGTAAAGGATAACAGGAAAACAGATTCTGATTATGGAAATATTCTGTCTTCCAACCTAAATCCCCAAGCAACTGCATTAAGTTTATAAAATGCACTGAGCTGGCAGGTGCAATTCACACATTTTTTGGCTATACATAGTACACTTAAAAAAATTAAAACGAGATTCCAAATTCCCAAAGAACTATAAATCAACTTACCCCCAAAGTAGCTCAGCTGTTCTCTGCTACATGCATGTCTCATTTCTATGACATTTTTCTCTACAAATAATAGTTCTAGTCTACAAATATGTTGCTTTCTCAGATAACAATGTACATGCCTACATTTCAAAACAATGAGAAAAGTAACTTACGTCTTCCATGTATTCTGGCTCTGATGCAGAGGCATCCCAACGATTATTGAGGATGAAAATATTAGGCTTGGAAAGCCGCTCATTCACCTTGTGAAAAAAGTGTTTTTCCTGAAAGAAAACAAAATCTCAATATTCACTTATAAAGTATCTTATATTACATTAATAATTGACAAATCATTTTGAAGGTGTGAATCACTGAGTCAACTGTGATTAAGACCCACTGAGAGAAGATCCTAAAGCATTCTTGAAAGCTTTAAAATTTTTGAAAAAAAAATCAACACATAAGAAGGCAAATGAAAAAAAAAAAAAAAACGGGGAGGGAAAGTGAACATTTTCCTGATCCTGTCTTAGACTTTTAAAATTGTTTAGTTTGTGTGTGTGTATGTGTGTTGTGTATACTAGAATGAGAGAAAAAGAGGACGCATGCACACTCACTTGCTATTTGATCCCTCAAATGCCCACAAGAGCCTATCTGAACTTTTTTTTTTATTATTATTTTTTTTTATTGGAAAGGCGGATATACAGAGAGGAGAGACAGAGAGGAAGATCTTCCGTCCGATGATTCACTCCCCAAGTGAGCGCAACGGGCCGATACTATGCCGATCCGAAGCCAGGAGCCTCTTCCAGGTCTCCCACGTGGCTGCAGGGTCCCAAAGCTTTGGGCCGTCCTCGACTGCTTTCCCGGGCCACAGGCAGGGAGCTGGAAGGGAAGCAGAGCTGCCGGGATAGAACCGGCGGCGCCCATATGGGATCCCGGGAGTGCAAGGCGAGGACCCTTAACCACTTGCGCCACAGCCACCGGGCCCGAGCCAATCTGAAGTTCAAATTACCTAAGCCATCACCACTGCCTGCTGGCGGCTACAGTCAGGTACTTAATCAGGACACTTCAAGGTGGATGATGGTGTCAAACGTGAGCCAAAGTGCTTGCTCCCCACTAAGCCTATTTAAAAAGTCAATTTAGGGTCCTGGCAGAGTGATATAGCAAATAAGGCTCCCACCTGCAGCACCAGCATCCCACATGGGTACCAGTTCAAGTTCTGACTGCTCCCCACTATTGACAATGGAAAGCAGTGCAGAATGGCCAAAGTGCTTGGCCTCCTGAACCCACAAGGGAAACCTGAAAGAAGTTCCTGACTTTACAACTGGCCCAGCTCTATCCACTGTAGCCATTCAGGGAGTAAACACGATGGAAGATGTCTGTCTGTCCTTCTTTCTGTAAATCTTTGAAATAGAATAAGTAAGTAAATCTTAAAACAAACAAACAAACAAACAAAAAATCGGGGCCCAGCACAGTAACCAGATGGGTAAAGTACTCGCCTTGCACACACCAGGATCCCATATGAGAACTGGTTCTAATCTTGGCGGCCCCACTTCCCATCCAGCTACCTCCTTGTGGCCTGGGAAAGCAGTCGAGGACGGCACAAAGCCTTGGGACCCTGCACCCACGTGGGAGACCCAGAAGAGGCTCCAGGCTTTGGATTGGCTCAGCTTTGACCATTGCAGCCACTTGGGGAGTGAATCAACAGATGAAAGATCTTCCTCTCTTTCTCTCCTCCTCTCTTTATACCTGCCTTTCCAATAAAAATAAAATAAAAGCTTTAAAAACGAAATTTTAAAAATTCTTTAACATTTCAGGAGGCCAGCATTGAGGTGCATTTCATTAAGGTCCAATATGTAGGACCATTGTTGTGCTGTGGTGGAGCGCCTGGCTCCTCCCTTGGGCTTGGACTGGCCCTAGCCATTGCAGGCATGTGGGGAGTGAACCAAAGACAAAGACCAAGACACTCTCACACTCTCTGCCTTTACCGTCAATGAGTTAATCTAAACCGTTCTCAGTCTGATAGTGACTTAAAGTACATACAAGTGGACTGGAACCTACAGCGTACATGGATAAAGTTGGAAAAATTGACAAAACTGAAAATATCAAGCCTTCCTGGACAGCAACTGTTCATACATTATTATTTTATTGAGGAGATAGCATAACAACTCTGGCCCCCATTTGCTGAGACCAACAATATCAACACTATCTATACTGTCATTGTAAATTCATAAAGATTTCCAGCAGCTAAAGCCTAGAAAGCTTCGAAACCTAGGAGCACTACAGAAAAATAGAGATGGCCTCTAGTCCTATGAAAATACAAATCCCTCACCCCATATGCGAATGCCTGGGCACAAACCACAGCTCAGCTCCCCATTCCAGCTTCCTGCTAATGTGCACCCTGGGTGGCAGCAGAATGCTCAAGTGTTTGGGATTTCCGTCTGTGTGTGTGTGTGTGTGCGTGCGCGCGCGCGCACGTGTGCACGCCCCACTTCCCTTGAAATACAATTTAAAATAAAATCTTTGAAGGATATCAGTTAATTTCCCACTATCCAGACAATAACTGATTAGATCCTACCGTGTTCATTAGTGTTGATTCAGAGTTTGCAACCAAAACGAAGACATCGGCATCTAAGCAAAATTTGTCAATCCAGCTATCCAGCTCTGTGGTGACATCTGTTCCTGGGCTAATGGGAATAAGTAAAAATTGCATCAGGTGAAATTTTTAGAAAAAAATTCTGAGTCACAGGCATAATTTACTTTTATATATTTGAAATCTAAGGGACAAAATTTCTGCCGTTCATTATGAAGCCTAGGAAATTTTTAACCCAAGACTTTTAACATAACAGGTTATATGGCCAATATTTCTACCTTACCCATCTTTTATGCTTTGAAAGGCTGCAAACTAAAACATACAGCAAACTAGGCTAACATAATCAAAAACAGCACAGGACCGATGCTTTGGCAGAGCAGGTGAAGCCATGGCCTACAGTGCCAGCATCCTACATGAGCCCTGGTTCAAGTCCTGGTTGCCCCACTTCTGACCCAGGTTCCTGCTAATCCGCCTGGGAGAGCACCAAAGTCCTTAGGTCCTTGTATTCCTAGCTTTGGGCCAGCCTATGTCTAGCCACTGCAGCACTTTGGTGAGTGAACCAGCTGATGGAAGAATCCTCTGTCTCTCCCTATAACTCTTTCAAATAAATACATAAATCTTATTTTAAAAATAAAATAATAAAAAAACACAACAGTGGTGCAATTAGCTATGTCCAGTCAGCTCAGAAATCTGGGTGTTTATAAACAAATAATAAATCATAAAGTACCCTCCATGATACAAAGTTAATATACCACTTATATTATAAAATCTTCAGTGAAGTCTTGTCCCCTGCATGAGATCTGGATTATGTCCATTTCAGGCTCCTGGCTCCAAGATGACAAGGCCCTCACCAGCAGCCATCAAAGAAGCAATTCACCAGCTTCCTGTATCTCTCAAATTTAACATAAAAAGGGCCCAGTGTCACAGTAGTGGCTATGGCTAAAGCCCTTGTCTTGCAAGCACTAGGATCCCACATGGGTGCTGGTTCATATCTCAGCTGCTCCACTTCCTATCCAGCTCCCTGCTTGTGGCCTGGTAAAGCAGTCGAGGATGGCCCAAAGCCTTGGGTCCCTGCACCCAAGTGGCGGGCCTGGAAGTGGCTCCTGGCTTTGGACAAGTTCAGCTCTGGCCATTATGGCCATTATGGCCACTTGGACAGTGAGCCAATGGGATGGAAAATCTTCCTATCACTCCTTCTCTCTGTAAATCTGACTTTCCAATAAAAATAAATAAAATTTAAATAAATAATAAATACAAGTCATTTTTCTAAATTGCAATGAAAGATATGCCAACTACCTGTCTAAGCTGGTTGGATTACATATAGTATGGTCATGAAATAAAACAAATATTTTTATTTCCCAAAGATCTCTCTCACATGAGCTACTTCCATTGATTCCTTGAACTATGCTTCCTGTAAGAGGCAATCAAAGAGAAAGAAGTCTTTCACCTGATTCATTCTACATATGGCCACAATGGTCAGGCTTAAGTCAAGAGCCAAGAGCTTCATCTACGTCTCCCATGTGGGTGCAGGGTCCCAACCACTGGTGCCAACTTCTGCTGCTTTTCCAAGCCATTAGTAGGAAGCTGAACCAGACACCGAGCACCGGGGACAGGAAGTGGCACCCATATGGGATGCTGGTGTGGCAGGTGGAGCTTTACTTGCTATACTACAATACCAGCCATTCTAAGTTCAAAAACAACAAAATGCTATATTAGTTATCAGAGTTATTTGGGGAAACTGTCTCAAGAACTCACTACTGATTAAGAAAAATATCTACTTAAAGAGCAGGTATTTGGCTTAAGGACTAGGAATCAGCATCTCTATCAGAATGTCTGGGTTTCAGTCCTGGTTCCATTCGAACTTCAGCTTCCTGTGTTCGCTTCTGCAGCATATACATGAAATTCAGCTCCTTCTACTGCCCATCTTGGGAGGCAGCAGGTCATGATCCAAGCACTTGGGACACCGGGACTGAGGCCCTGGTGCCTCGCTCACGACTGCCCCCTCCCAGCTACTGCAGGACCCGAGAGAAAACTGGAATGAGGGAACTTATGCATGTGCACTCTATCAAGACAAATACTTCAAGTTACCTTTACATAAATTCTTCTCAAATAGTTCATGTTTACTCTATGTACACAATCTCTAACACCAAAAAACTTAACCCAAATTATGAAGTTAATCTAAAGAAACTTCAAAAAATGACTATCTTTAAAATTCCTTAAATACAATTAGATGAAAAGTTAGAAATTTTTTGTAAATATTTAAACAAAAAACCAACACTTTATCAGATTCCTAGCAATTTCAAGAAGGAAAAGAACAACACAACATCTTAAATGTCTGTTCTATCCACTAAGGTAAGTGGCATCATTCTAGTAAATACATGTCTAATAAGGAAAAACATAATTCACATGTAACTTTACCTGTCCACTAAGACCAGGTCATCTCTCAAGAGGGCACATTTTGCCTTTGGCCAAAACACATGTACAAGACAGCCAGCTTTCAAATCCTTGTCCATGTGAAGGGCATGGGCCAGCTGGTTAACTGTCTAAAGCAGAAATAAATAAATAAATACTCGATTTGTAATAAAATCCAATACAAGTTAAAATACTACAGTTTGGTATACTTGATTTTCCAACATGCATGCAACACGTACAACTTTAAACAGTCGGAAGTAAAAGCACCTGAACCAGGTCGAGAAACTCAAACCAAAACAAGAACAGTTTCCTTAAAATAGCACACTCCTTGTCTCCCACAGAATTAATCAGATTTAGAAACACTACAAATGTCCAATAACTTTCGCGGCACATGCAATCCTTTGGAACTCGCAAAATTTCTATTTGGTTTGTGAAATGTGTGAGAGTTTAGGGTTTCTTATCTTTGGCTATTTGTAATTTCTAGCTCTTCTGAAATGAATGCGTATTGCTTAGTAATAATGGAAAATGGCATTATTAGGGGAAATATAATTGTTAAAATAGGTTTAGATTAAATCTCTTTAAAGTAAAGGCAATCAATACAGGAGGTCTACGCATATTCACTCTTCTTTCTGCTTTTTCGTTAAGATTTACTCATGGGTCCAGTGCAGTAGCCTAGTGTCTAATGTCCTTTCCTTGCATGCAGCAGGATCCCATATGGATACTAGTTTGTGTCCCAACTGCTCCACTTCCTACCAGCTCCCTGCTTGTGGCCTTGGGGCCCTGTACCCCTGAGGGAGACCCAGAAGAAGCTCCTGGCTTCAGATCGGCTTGGCTCAGCTGTTCCGGCCACTTGGAGAATGAATCAGAGGATAGAAGATGTTTCTGTCTCTCCTTCTCTATGAAAATCTAACTTTCCAATAAAAATAAATAAACCTCTATTAAAAAAAAAAAAGATGTACTCATTACCTATTCGAGAGAGAGGAAGACAGAGAAAAGAGATATTCTCTCTGCCAGTTTATTCCCCACATGAAGGCAACCGCAGGGGCTGGGCCAGACCAAAGCCAGGAGCCTGAACTCTCCTTGGTTCCCCCTGTGGGTACAAGAGCCCAGGCACAGAGCTGGATCCGCTGGATCAGAAGCCGAGCAGCCAGGACTCAAACTGCCATCCTCATGGCAGGGTTGCAGGGGGCAGTCAAACCCAGTTTGCCATATTGCTGTCTCCCATTTATCCCATTCTTAATGAAGGACTTTCTCAGCAGCTGGGTCTTGATTCACACAAATCTGCTTGAAACTAATGAGTGCCTACAATATCTATATTATCTGACCTAAAGCTCTAAAACCAATGCTTTGCTTTAGCACATTTCCCGTATATATTAGGTGTAAAACAGATTCAGAGTGTTTATAATAGAATCAGTAACTAAACCAGGAAAGGGAACCAGCACACACACCTCATTTAGGATGCAGCATCACATTGCAAAGCCAAACATGTATATACAAACGAGCAACACAGCTCTGATCAGCGTTGAGTACATTTCTATGGCGACAATGCTCAGTAGTTTTTGTAAACCTGTCCTGAAGGGCCAGTCACGTGGTGAAGCAAGTTAGGTTGGTGCCTAGTATGTCAGCATTCCTGATTACTAACAACTTTTCTAAGATTTATTTATTTTTATTGGAAAGTCAGATTTACAGAGAGGAGAATCATGGAAAGATCTGTCATCTGGTTCACTCCCCAAATGGCTGTAACAGCTAGAGCTAAGCCAATCGGAACCCGGAAGCCAGGAAGCCCCGCCAGGTCTCCCACGCGGGGTGCAGGGTCCCAAGGGTCCCAGGGTCCCATCCTTGGCTACTTTCCCAGGCCACAGCAGGGAGCTGGATGGGAAGTGGAGCAGCTGGGATATGAACCGGCACCTATAAGGTATCCTGCAAAGTACCAAGGTGAGAACTGAGCCACTGAGCTGTCACGCTGGGTCTGTCAGCATCCCTTATAAGCACCAGTCGAGTTCTGGCTATTACAATCCCCATCCAGCTCTCTGTTACTGAGTCTGGGAAAGCAGCAGATGACACAAGTGCTAGTGCCTGGGCCTACTGCTTTGGGCTAGGCGCAGATGTGAGCACTGTAGCCAGCTGACAAGAGAGCCAGCAAATGGAAGATTTCAGTGTCCCTCGCTGTAATTTAGCCTTCCAAACACAAGAATTAAATCTTTAAAAAGCATGGCTCTGAAATGCTGCTGTTTTCACTACAAAACTAAGATAATAAAAGTAAATATCTAACACAGTTGTGGGGAGGTTAGTATAACCACAAGTGTTTAGTGGCTGGTGCATAGCAAGTACTCAACAACATATTAGCTATTTTTGGTGAATTTATTTTACTATGTAAACTAGACTGAAAGTCTATACCTTATAGCAGGTCACCACTTGAGGGAAGCAAATTTAAATTTGGGTACAGGACAAAGAAAGGGAAAGAGTGGAAGAGAACTGCAGTATGGAACATTTATTAAGAGAAATGACCAACTGCTTCTTTAAATTATAACACTACCACTTGCCTTTGAGACTCTACAAAGTCAAGGTAGTCTGAATTGTAATTTGATAAAAAAAAATTATCAGAAAAAAAAACCTGATTCTTTTATTTGTATAGGTTTAAGGGGTGATGAATACCACAGCTCATCTGGATATTTCAAACAACACTCTCAGGCCACACAATATTTTAATTAGGATCGGCAAGGCAGTGTAATGGGTAACGCCATTGCCTGCAGCACTGGTATCCCCATATGTGTGTCAGTTCCACTTCTGATCCAGCTCCCTGCTCATGTGTCTAGGAAGACAGCAAAGCACGGCCCAAGTGTCTGGGCCCCTGCACCAACAAGGGAGACCTGGAAGAAGCTCCTTGGCTCCTGAGCTCAGTCTGATCCAGTTCCTGCTACCATTTGGTGAATGAACCAACAGATGGAAAAATCTATCTTCCTTTTCTCTGTAACTATGTCTTTCAAATAAATTTAAAAATCTTAAAAAAAAAAATCAGCTTGGGGCTGGTGTTGCAACACAACACATTACACCACAACCTGCCTGGCTGGCACCCCATACGGGTACCAATTCAAGTGCCTAATGCTCCACTTCCATTCTAGTTCCTTCTCTCTAATGTGCTGAGAAAAGTAGCAGAAGATGGCCTAAGTCTTTGAGGAGACTGAATCCACACAGAGAATACACAGAGTCCCAGGCTCCTGGTGTCTACCAGGAACAGTTCTGGTGATGGTGGCCATTTGGGGAGTCAACTCCACCTCTGTCACTGTGCCTTTGAAATAAATAATGAATCTTTTTAAAAAAAATTAGTTGGTGGTCTGGTGTGAAAGCAGAGTGGCTGAATCTTCCCCTGCACGGGCCAGGATCCCATACGGGTGCCAGTTTGTGTCCTGGAAGCCCCACTTTCCATCCAGCAGCTCCCTGCTTGTGACCTGGGAAAGCAGTCGAGAATGGTCCAAATCCTCGAGACCCTGCACCCACGCAAGAGACCCATAAGAAGCTCCTGGCTTGGCTTCGGATCAGAAGCTCTATCTCTCTTTGTAAATTTGACTTTCCAATAAAAAAAATAAATCTTAAAAAACAAAACTGAGCTTATGTGTTCATAGGAGAAAATTTTAGATGTAAGAAGTAGTGACCAAAAAAAGAAATAAGTGCTTTTAGCAACTACTTTCATTCCACGATGGACATTCTACATTTTAATTTTTCTTTTTTTTCCCTTCCTTTTCTTTCTTTCTCTCTCTCTACCTAACTAGTTATCTAACTATTATGGCTGAAAGAGTTTACTGGCACTAAACAGAGAAATTTTTGAAAGTAGTAGATTGCCATTAGCCCTTTCTGATAAAACTGTAACATGTATCAATGAATCTTTTCACTAAGTTAAAACAGAATTTCTAAAAAACGAAGGCATTTATCAAAGCAGATTCAGGAACTAATTTTTGAATAAAGCTTTCTTTAAAAAGAAAAATTGAACATTAAATGAACACAAAATACTAACAGTGTTGTTCTCACTGAAAGGTTTAAAAATGTTAAATTCTAATATACTCTTATTTTAAGTATAAATTTTACTTTCACAATTTACCTTTGAGGCAAGACAACTGATAACTTAAAATACTCATGATGGCTTTGGAAGTTATGAACAGAAATACCAACAGCTCTTCCTGCTCCAGCAATATAGACGTCAATAACAATGTTTTTAAAAGACCATATTAAGGACAGTATTTCCAGGACATCCTGTGGCTAAAGGTTCATGATTATACCTTCACACTCCTTTTTTCATCTGACCCTTCTGTCATTAAGTAGGCTCTATCTCCATCGGTGCCTTCCACGCTCAGGAAACAGTTGGTTGTATGGCCAATCCCACTAGGGAGAACTTTATCCCACAACATTGCATTGATAACAGAACTTTTCCCACTGCTTGTCCTGAAGAATACACAAAATCAGAAAAAACAAGAGTTAAATTGTTTTTACAAGGTCTAAGGCCAACTTTTTCAAATTCCCAATTTTCTTAAAAATTTCATCAGATTGTACTTTTTATAAAATAGTTGATAATCTGACTGACTCAAGTATCAAAATGTACCCAAGCATTTCAGGGAGCAAAGGGTCAGGAAAATAAACCCCACATTTCCCACATAGCTATCCCCCTGGTTATTCTTTCATCCTTCTCATGACAACTTAAAATCATGTGTAAAAATTCTGGGACATTCCTTCTACCACATGACAGGATTTAATGTCACATTTCCTTAAATTTGGGCTTGTTTGTAACTGCTTCACCAAATATTTATAATATATAGATACAGATAGAATATAAAATATATCTATCTCATTTACTGAACCACATGTACTTGGAGCTTTGGCACTTCTAACTACCCTGAGTCTGCCACGCTTCAAGGAAATCAAGCTAAATGGAGATGACTGGGCAGGTGCACAGTGGACAGTCCAAATATCCAAGTTAGCCAGCTTAGGAACAAGGCACATGGAGGAAGATGTCACACGACCCCCACTCTTGGCCACCGAGCCAGCACAGACTGCTATGTCTCCTTAGTTGCGGGTCCAGGCATCTTGGAGCAAAAACAAGACATCCCTGTTATACAGTGTCTGAATATTTAACTCACATACTAAGTGAGCACAATGAAACGGTTGTTTTAAACTTGCTAAGTTCTAATTTGTTTTTATATAGTCACAGAAAAGCCTTTTACTTCACTACAAAAACAGCATCTATCTTTATGAAATACAACTTGGTTTTTCCAGGGAGCCATCTTGCCTTAATCACATCAACACTGACTTATATAATGACATTAAAATTTTTTTTTAATTTTTATTTTAAATTTTCAATTTTTATGGTATAATTATGTAGAGTCTGGGATCCTTCTTGACCCACTATGACATTCTGTCAGAATACCAATAAGCTCCCTTGAAATTGATACTTCTATTAATTAAAAAGAAAAATTGATATTTCCAGATGATCCAAATTCTTGAGACTACCCACCCACGTGTGAGACCTAGAAGAAATTCTAGGCTCCTGGCTCTGACTTGGCCCAGCCTTAGCAACTGCATCCATTTAGAGCATGAACTGGTAGAAGAGCTCTCTCTCTCTGTGACCTTTAACTATAGCTCTCAAAACAAATTTAAAATAAATAAATAAAATTACTCCTTCCAGATCCAGTCAGAAGCCTGCACTTCCTTTAGTCCCTCTACCCCACATCAGAATTATCTGGGGCGCATGTGGGGAGTGGGGTGCTGAGGCACTCCTGGGATTTGGGAGGAGCCATTGCAAGATGGCCCAGGGCCAGGGCCAGGAGGCAGAGTTGGTCTTGCCAGAAGGTAAACAGGAAGTCACAGGGATAGGCTAATGCCCATGCTGCAATTATGTCATTGCTACCGGCCTATCAGCACCAAGTGGATCCACGGGGAGAAGTGATTGGTGGAGAACAATATAAAGGTAGCTGGTAAAAGCTAGGCGGAGGACAGACAGATGAACGACACAGGACTGGGGGACGACGAGGACAAAGACTGGGGAAAGAACGACAGACGGAACGGGATGAACAGGGCAGCAGAGCAGGGAAGAAGGGTTTAGATCCTCGGGTGGAAAAGTTAAGGCATATGGGGAGGAAAAGCGGCAAAGCGGAATACAGACAGAAGCAGTAAAAGCAGTATGGACAGACGGGGACAAGAATGGAGGAATGCAGCAGAAAGTATGGGAAGAAATATGGGAAGGGGGGGCGGGAAGAGGCTGGAGAAGTGGGAGGAAAGCTTAGACCAATGAGGACAGGAGCAGAGGAGATAAGGATTTAAACGCAGCTGCTTTTGGCAGTGAGGGGTCCGGTTGAGATTCCGGCTTTTCCCGGACCCTCAAGAGCGTGCCTTGTTGTTTTAGTGTCTCCGCCACGCGCCGACAGGAGCCCACTAACAATGCAGACTCCTCAGGTGCACCTACAGAACATGACTTCAGAGATGCTCCCAGAGTGATTAATACTAATGTTGTAGACACCCTGCTTTCCTAAAATGCCTAAAACAATTACGGTTAAAGAGTGCTCACTCCAGCAACACATATACTAAAATTGGAACAATTATGGTTAAAGAAAAAAACGGCCTGGCACAGTAGCCTAGCAGCAGGTCCTTGCCTTGAACGCCCCAGGATCCCATATGGGCACCGATTCTAATCCCGGTGGCCCGGCTTCCCATCCAGCTCCCTGCTTGTGGCCTGGGAAGGCAGCTGAGGATGGCTCAGGGCCTTGGGCCCCTGCACCTGTGTGGGAGACCTGGAAGAGCTCCTGGTTCCTGGCTTAAGATCGACTCAGCTCAGGCCGTTGCAGTCACCTGGGGAGTGATTCAATGGACGGAAGATCTTCCTCTCTGTCTTTCCTCCTCTCTATCTGCCTTTCCAACAAAAACAAATAAACCTTTAAAAAAAAACTTTAAAAAAATGGAAAAACAAACTTTCTTTATTCTTTTTTTTCTCTATTCTCACAATTAACACAAAACCATTCTGTGTCGAGCTAGGACCATGACAGAGCAGGTTAGTTAAACCTCTGCCTGCAGTGCCAGGATCCCAAATAGCTGACAGTTCAGCCCTCGGCTGCTGCACTTCTGATCCAGCTCCCTGTTAACAGCCTGAGAAAGCAACAGAGGATGGTCTAAACCCTTGGGTCTCTGCGCCCACATGGGTGAACAGCAAAAAGCTCCAGGCTCCTGGTTTCACTAAGGCCCAGTTCTGGCTCGGGCTGTTACAGCAGTGAACCAACGGATCAACGATTCTGTCTCTCCTTTCTCCATAAATCTGCATTCCAAATAATACTAAGTAAATATTTAAAAATAAAAGAATAATTGAGAAAGACTATTTTAGACAATAGTCAGGGACAACATTTTTTTTTTTAGTGACAAGTTTTGAGAAAAACATTTAAGGTAACATCTGAAGAGTGACAAGGCACCATACAAAAACAAAAAGAATTCCAAGGAATAGGAAACTGGAAGTGCAAAAGTAAGTTTCCTGGCAGATGAGGGGCACCTGACAAGGCCTGTGAGTTTAGTTTAAAAAAAAAAAAAAAAAAAAAAAAAAAAAAAACCCATGGTATTTGAGTCACCAACTGCAGGACTAGGCATTCGTCTTTACAATACTTAACAGTACTTAACATACCACATGGTCCTCATGCAGTTAGCAAATGACAATTAAATGAATGCGTAGGCTGGTGGAATGAGAATACTCTATCATTCTGGGTAGTTAATAGTGGCATAAAACACATCCTACTCCACCAGTGGGGTTAGCAGTCCACCAAGCAGGCAGAAGTGATACTCAATGTAATCTTCAAAAAGTCACAAATCATGCTTATCATTTATCTACATCTCCATTTTTTTGATCGACCAAGAGTCAATTCTTAGAGGTACATTCTTAAAAGGCAGAAATGTGGTGACCTTTATAAAACCTCATTTTTAACCCAGCAGCTAAAATGAACAAAATCTTCTACATGCTAACAGCTTTAACATCCAACATAAGTAGAAACTGCTGAGGGAGGAAAAGAGAAGAATATTATTTGCTGAAACATTAGACACACGGCTCAGAAGATCAAGAAACATTGCCTTCTAGAAACTAACCTTAGAAGAAATAATACAGGATTACCTGCCAAAAAATGCCACTTTCATGTGTCTTCGAGACAGCACCTCACCAATGACGGAAATCTTGTGCTTATACCCTTGTATTTCAAGCAAATCATTCTCAGTGGCTATTCGATCAAGTTCTGGATTCTTAAATGTTGCTGAAAAATTGAAATGTTATTAGAAAAAGTGGTATCGATTTATTATAGCACACTATAGCCATATATTTTGGCTCTGTGCTATTATAAAGACAGCAGAGTCCAGTTCTATAATGCTACACGTTAAGCCATCAGTTGTTATGCTGGCATCACAAAGGGCAGTACTGCTTCCTGTCCAAGCTACTGGATTCGACCCATTTCCCTTCTAATGTACCTGGGAAGCCAGCAGGAGACGGCCCCAAAGTGTGGGCCCCTGCTACTCATGTAGGCGGCCAGGAGGAAGATCCTGGCTCCTGGCGTCAGCCTTACCCAGCCATCCCTGTTGGAGCCATCTGGAGAATCAATCCAGACGGGAGATCTCTTGCTCGGTCTCTACCTCTCTATATTTAACTCTGTCAATAAATAAACCTTTAGGGCCCAATGCAGTAATCTAGTGGCTGAAGGCCCTGCCTTGAATGTACCGGGATCCCTTATGGGTGCTGGTTCTAATCCCAGTAACCCTGCTTCCCATCCAGCTCCCTGCCTGTGACCTGGGAAAGCAGTTGAGGATGACCCAAAGCCAGGAGCTGCAGACTCAGTCTAGGTCTCCCGTGTGCCCACCCGGGCCCAGCTACTTGAGTCTGCAGCTCCTGGCTTCAACCTGGCCCAGCTTAGGATGCCGCAGGCACTTGCAGAAGGCACCCATGAGGAGGACTTTCAAATAAATCATGCAAATAAACAGTGATAAGACAATGAATATCAGATTACCTCCTGCTCCTGAAATAAAGACAAAATGAAGATTTTTCTTCGTAAGTTCAGTCTCCATTTTCCAAACATCTTCTACATAGTTGAGAGGGTTACATGCCAATGTGAGTCTGATAAGGGTGGGGATCCACCTTCTTTTTTGTTTTTGACTAGGGTGGATGGCTACCTCTAAACCTAACAGAAACACAATAGGTGGGCCCAATGCCATAGCCTAGTGGCTAAAGTCAATGCCTTACATGCACTGGGATTACATATGGGCACCAGTTTGTATCCCAGCTGCTCCACTTACCATCCAGCTCCCTGTTTGTGCCCTGGGAAAGCAGTCGAGGACAGCCCAAAGCCTTGGTACCCTGCATCCATGTGCAGAACCGGTGCACATATGGGATCCCGGTGCATTGAAGGCGAGGACTTTAGCCGCTAGGCTACCACACCGGGCCCTATTCAGTACTATTATTTCAAAGGCAGAGTTACAAAGAGAGGGAATGACAGAGGTATCTTCCAGCCGCTGGTTCACTCCCCAAAGGAACACAGCATTCACCCCTGGGCCACACCTAAGCCGAAAGCCAGGAGCTGCTTCCTGGTCTCCCACGAGGGTGCAGAGGTGCATGTTCTTGAGCCATCTCCCACTGCTCTTCCAGGCACATGAGCAGGGACGTGGATCAGAGGTGGAGGGTTCAGGACCCGAACCAGAGCCCAAATGGGACACTGGCATCAACGGCAAGCAACTTGACGTGCTCCACCAACAATGCCGATTCCTTAACTTCATTTTCATTTCCCATCGAGTTTTTTTATCGAGTTTTCCCATCGAGTTTTTGCTAATGTCTTGTGCTAACCCAAATTCTTGCCAAAGCATAAACCTTCAATGACAAAACTTGGAAGTGTAAAGTTCAGTTGCTAGGATTACAATAAAGCAGAATTCCTGGTTAAAAGGAGTTAAAATGTAGCAAGAGTTAGGAACAAGGGAACAAAAGCTTGATTCTGAAATTGACATTGTGACAAAGTGGGTGAAGGACCAGTTCAAATTCCAACCTTTTCACTTCTGATCTAGCTTTCTGCTAATGAGCCTGAGAAAGCAAAGATGGCCCACATACCAGGGTCGCTAGCACTCACAAGGCAGAACAAATGTATTCCCAGACTCCTGCCTTCTATCTGGCCTACCCCTCAGTACTTTCGGGGAATCAGTGGATGGAAGATCTCTCACTTTTTCAATTAAATAAGTCTTAAAAATAAAGAAAAAACAGGTTGATTGTACCAACCTACCAAATGTCTCCCACTGTCAGCTGTGAATCCCTCCCTTTTCTTTCTTTCTTTCCTTTTTTTTTTTTTGGCTTTATTTATTTTTATTGCAAAGTTAGATGTATAGAAAAAGAGAGAGAGGAAGATCTTTCGTCTGATGATTCACTCCCCAAGTGAGCACAACAGCTGGAGCTGAACCAATCTGAAGCCAGGAGCCTGGAGCCTGCTCAGGTCTCCCACGCGGGTGCAAGGTCCCAAGGCTTTGGGCCATCCTAGACTACTTTCCCAGGCTACAAGCAGGGAGCTGAATGGGAAGTGGAGCTGCCAGGACTAGAACCAGCGCCCATATGGGATCCCGGTGTGTTCAAGGTGAGGACTTTAGCCACTAGGCTACCACACGTAGCCCCAAATCCCTCCCTTTTTCATTGCAAATTTGTCAATCACATAATTTTAAAATCCAAAAGAAATTTGATACCTCTACAGTCTAGCACTGTGGGGCAGCAGGTTAAAACTGCCTGTGATCCAAGCATCCCATACTTAGGTACCAGTGGAGTCCAGGCTACTCTGCTTTCAGTACAGCTCCATAGATTATGATGGGGCAGGCAGCAGAAGACAGCCCCAAGTGTCTGACTCTTACTAGGAGCAGGGGAAACACAGATGTAATTCCTGGCCTTTGGCCTCAGCCTAGCCCAGAGCTGGCCGTTGTAGCCATCTGGAGAGTGAAGCAGCAGACAGAAAACCTGTCCACCTCCCCTCTCTCACTCTGTCTTCTGAACAAACCTTTAAATAACAACCACAAACAACTTGCAAAGTGCTGCAAAGGAAGATATGCATCTCATCGCTGCTGCTGGTTCCGCAGCTGCACTCAGCTGATGAAAACTCCTTCCTGCCTTTTCCATCTCTCAGCCACACCTGAGAGAAACAGGCCTTAGGTGACACTGAGCCACAGAGCTGGCTAACTGTAGGCTGCCTGATTTGCTATTTGAGCATTTCCTAGTTGTATAATCTTGAGCAACTTGCTTAACTTTTCCATCACCTTTCTTCACCTTTCAAATGTGCATGATTACAAAATGCCATTGGTGACAGGAGCAGCAAATGAATTATTAATACAGATGTAATTGACAACATCAGTCGTTCTTAACAACATCTGAACTTCCTCTTTCACAGGACTGACATTGGCTTTACTCATTCTGGTATCCCTCACATACTATACAGCACAGTCCCCTGTATGGGTATGCGTTCAATAACTAGATTGAAGAAAAAAGTAACTGTATATATTTTCAATGATCATCATGTCAAGAACTTAAAAGGGGAGTCTGGCACGATAGCCTAGCAGCTAAACACACCAATTCTAATCCCTGTCAGCTCCACTTCTCATCCAGCTCCCTGCTTGTGGCCTGGGAACGCAGTCAAGGACGGCCCAAAGCCTTGAGTCCCCGCACCTGCACGGGAAGACCTGAACAGGCTCCAGGCTCCTGGCTTCAGATTGGTTCAGCTCCAGCTGTTGCGCTCACTTGGGGAGTGAATCATCAGATGGAAGATCTTCCTCTCTGTCTCTGCTCCTCTCCGTATGTGACTTTGTAATCAAAATAAATTAAAAAAAAAACTTAAAACAAACTAACCTTCAACAAAACGTGAGCCTTCGTTCACGAACTCCAGTAACTGGTCAAAGATGGTGGTGATGGCCTTCTTCGCCAACACAAAGTGCTTCAGCGGGGACGCAGTTTCTGCCATCACGCTGCTAGCACACAAATACAAAGGGAACCCGGCATCAGTTAGAACGACTGAGAACAGCATGTCAATTAGTAACAGCTTGTAAGTTCTTCATGTAACTCCCCAGTGGAACAAACTCCCCAAACATTTCTAGGTAGTTGTTTGGGAGGGGGGAGGGGAGAGACAGATATATTCCAGTTGGACAGTTAAGGACTACTTCTCAAAGCTATTTCACTAAAATAAATGAAAGTGACTAGCCAACATTTCTACTTTATTTCAATTTCTACTTTTCCCTCTGGGGAATACGAAACTAATAATGGCTGAGTTGTGACTGCATGTGACTTAGCACGTCAAGCGACTGAGTAGCAGCCAAGTACACAAGCGTAATTAAGTTTCTCAACCTGGAGCTGTATGTGGGAGGGAGCAGGTATGCAAAGAGAAGAATCAGAATCCAGGATCACAACATAAAACCAAACGCTGGGGAACACGCTTTCATCACAATACAGGACGCAACACATTAACGCTCCCAACCTGACTGCCGGAAACTTGGAGGAATGCCAAACTTTTTTTTTACTTGCCCTGACGTTTTCCCACGAAAATTACACCCAGGGCAAACCACTACAGCCGCGCCGAGCACAGGTGCGCGCGGAGCGGGGCGGCCCCGGGAGCCGGCGGGCCGCAGCCACCTACCTCGGGCGGAGCCCCGCCACGCCGCAGCCCCGGCCGCGGGGGCCTCGTCCGCCCGGCTCGGAACCCGACCCCGCCGCCCCGCCGCCCTCGCGCGGCTCCGCGGGCCCCGGCCGGCCGGCCGCCCCGCTCGCCATCCGCCCGCCCGCCCGCTCCCTGCCCGCAGCCGGCGGCGGCCGCAGCGCCTCGTCACGGCTGCCCGCCCCCTGCCCGCCCCAAGGTCACCCCGAGAGTCGGGAGCGCGCCGGCGGCAAGGGGGCTGACACGCACCCTGTCCCGCCTCGCGCCTGTCACTCGGCAGCCACCGCTTGGCCCCGGCCCGCAGATTGCCTCATCGTCCTCGCTCGGGATAAACCCGAACCGGAGGCAGGAGGCGTGGCGGGAGCGCCCACTTCCGGCCCGTGGTCCTCTAGTGTTCTGTTTGCTTTCGTCACCGGAAACGCGTCGAAGCCAGACGCCATTTTTCTTAAGGGAAGAAGGCTAAATTGGCCGTGGGCAGAAATTACACATGGCGGACTGGATTCTGGTTCCACGGGACAAGTTCCTCTCCTCCTCCCCTCTTAAAAATTTTCAAAGCTCTGTTCCGGCCTAGGCTGTGGCTGCCTTACAAGGGAGAAGCTGTGGAGTTAAGGGGCTGTGAGGCAAAAAGGCCACGTTTGTCACAAAAGAGGCAATCGAGGAAAAGCATTTGACCTAATCCATGGTTTTTGCGTGATTGCGTCTCTGGAGTACAGACAAGGGGAATACAAACAGACAGAGATGAATGACCTTAGAGGTGAGACCTAACGCTTGGTGCTTAAGAATTATCTGGAGAGGATCCGGTGCTGTGGCCTAGTGGCTAAGTGGGATCCCATATGGGTACCAGCTCTTATCCTGGCTGCTCCTCTTCCCATCCAGCTCCCTGCTTGCAGCCTGGGAGAGGAATTCGAGGATGGCCCAAAGCCTTGGGACCCTGCGCCTACCTGGGAGACCCGGAAGAAGCTCCTGGCTTCGAATCAGCTCAGCTGTGGCCATTGTGGCCACTTGGGGAGTGAGCCAGTAGATGCAAAATCTCCTCTCTGTATATCTGCCTTTCCAATAAAAATCAATCCTTAAAAAAAATTGTTTGCAGAACTTGTTAAACTGCAAATCTCTGTTGCTCACAACCCTATCAAAGTGTTGTTGCTATTCCAGGCTCAAGGGATCATTCTAGCGTGTCTAATCTAATTTTTTAAAGTCCCTTCCCACTTTTTAAAAACATTTGCTTATTGAAGGCAGAGTTATAAAGAAAAAGAGAATGCAGAGAGAGTAATGTTTTATCCACTGGTTCACTCACCAGATGACGGCAGAGGCCGAGTCTGGCCAAATGCAAGAAGCCCAGGACACCAGGTCTCCCACAGGGGCCATGGGGCCCAAGGGCTTTCCCAGGCGTATTGTCAAGTAGCTGGGTCTGGATCCGAAGTGGAGCATCTGGGACTTAAACTGCCACTCAGATACAATAAAGGCAGTGGCTCACCGAGGCTGCCACAGTCTTGCTCCATTCTGGGGATTATTCCTCAGAGTTGCCCAGTGTTGTGTTCTCCCAGGTGAAACCATGCCATCTGTTTGTCTCAGAAACTCAATGTATAAACCGATATACTGATACTACCTAGCATATTTGAGAAAATGGCATGGGGAAAGGCTGGCATTGTGGTGTGGCATGTAAGTCCAGCTCCTGTGATGCTGGCATGCCGTATGATGCTCTGTTTCTTTTAATTTTTTAATGATTTCTATTTTTTAAAGATTTATTTTATTTTTTTATTGGAAAGGCAGACAGACAGACAGACAGACAGACAGAAAGGTCTATCTGCTGGCTTAACTCTCCAAGCAGCCACAGTGGCCAGAACTGAGCTGATCAGAAGCCAGGAGCCAGGAGCCTCCTAAGGGCTTTCCATGTAAATGCAGGATCCCAAAACCTTGGGCCATCCTCCACTCCTTTCAAACCACAGTCAGGAAGCCGGATAGGAAGTGGAGTAGCCAGGATATGAACTGGCACCCATATAGGATACTGGCTGAAACAAGGTGAGATTTAGCCACTGGGCTATCCCACCAGGCCCAGTGATTTATTCTTATTGGAAAGGCAGATATACAGAAGAAGAGAAAGATCTCCCATCCACTGGTCCACTCCTCAAGTGGCTGCAATGGCCAGAGCTGAGCCAATCCAAAGCCAGGAAATTTATCAAGGTCTCCAACACCAGTGAAGAATCCTAAGGCTTTGGGCCATCCTGAACTGCTTTCCCAGGCCACAAGCAGGGAGCTGGATGGCAAGTGGAACAGCCAGGACATGGACCAGTGCCACTGTGGGATCCCAACACTTGCATGCAGTGAATTAGCTAGTGGTGCTGTGTGCTATACCTTTACACTCCACTTGTGACCCACTTCCCTGCTGATGCCCAGGTCCTTGGACCCTGTGCCCGTGAAAGAGACCTGAAAAAGTGTCCTGCTTCCTGGCTTCTGACTTCAACCTGGCCCAGCCCTGGCTGTTGTGACCATTTGAAGAATGAACCAGTGAATGAAAGACTTCTCTCTCCTTCCGTGCCTCTGCCTCTCCATCTCTGTAGCTCTACCTGTCAAATAAATGGATAGATTAAAAAAAAAAAAGAGTAAATATTGTTTTTCCCAGTGATTCATTCCCCAAGTGACCACAACAGTTGGAGCTGTGCTAATTCAAAGCCAGGAACTCTTCCGGGTCTCCTACACAGGTGTAGGGTCCCAAGGCTTTTCGGCTGTCCTCAACTGCTTCCCTAGGCCATGAGCAAGGAGCTGGATGGGAAGCGGGGCCACTGGGATTAGAACCGGCACCCATATGGGATCCCAGCACGTTCAAGGTGAGGACTTTAGCTGTTAGGCCACTGCACTGGGCCCTTGTTTGCTTGTTTGTTTGTTCGTTTGTTTGTTTGTTTTATTGGAAAGGCAGACTTACAGAGAGGAGAAATATCTCTGGTTCACTCCCCATGTAGTCACAATGGTCGGAGCTGAGCCAATTAGAAGCCAGGAGCCAGGAGCTTCTTCTGGAACTCACAGGGTCCCAAGGCTTTGGGCTATTCTGCACTGCTTTCCCAGGCCACAAACAGGGAGCTGGATGGGAAGTGGAGCAGCTGGGACATGAACCACTGCCCATATGGGATATGGGCACATGGCAAGGTAAGGATTTAGGCACTAAGTGATCAGTCTGGGCCCTGATATGGGCATTTAAACCCTGAAGTGCTGTGTTAATGGTTGATGAATTAAAGGTGGAGACTTTATCTACTTACGGAGACAAAGGAGGTGGGACCAGTACAAGGTGTTTAGGTCCTTGGAGGTTTGCCCTTGCAAGGGCAGATTGTTAACAGGCCTGGTCATTAAGCCCAGCTGGCCTCTTTGTTCTGCTTTCTGCATCATCGTAGGATTGTTCCTGCACACTTGCTCTGCCCTTGCCAGCCTGCGCCAGAAGGCCCACTGACACCACTGACTCCTGAATGGTGAACCCAGAAGGAACCTTTTCTTTCCCAAGAATCCCAGAAGCTTTTAGACTCTGAGTGCTAAGATCAGAGGAGTTGGTGGAAAGAGACAAAGTTTGCCAAGAAGATCTTCTCAAACTTCTTAGTCAAACACAAAGCTGAGCCACAAGACCGGAGAGTAACTAGATGTCATTTACTAAAACAAACAAACAGAACCTCGCTTTGAGGGCGGCTGTGCGCCAGGCTGACCTCTGTTTCTTATGTCATGTGAAAGAAGAGCACCCATGCCGACAAGTAGGCAAGGTGAGTATTATTAAAGCTAGAAATATGCCGCTGCATAGTCAGAAGAGGGGGCTCCAAAAGACGAAAACCCCCAAATATGGTCCAAGTGAGGTCTCAAGCACAGTTTTTGAGGAAAAAAAAAATATGTAACAGTATAACAGAAGGACTCATAGGTAGTCAAGGTCACCTCTTTATTGAAATGAGAAGGGCCTGGCAAGGTAGCCTAGCAGCTAAAGTCCTCGCCCTGAATGTGCCCTGGATCCCATATGGGCTCCGGTTCTAATCCCAGCAAATTATAACCCCGCTTCCCATCCAGCTCTCTGCCTATGGCCTGGGAAAGCAGTCGAGGACGACCCAAAGCCTTGGGTCCCTGCACCTGCGTGGGAGACCCGAAAGAGGCTCTGGACCCCTGGCTTCAGATCAGCTCAGCTCCACCTGTGGTGGTCATTTGGGGAGTGAATCATTGGATGGAAGATCTTCCTCAGTCTCTCCTCCTATGTTTGTATCTGACTTCACAATAAAATTCAATAAATTAAAAAAAGAAAGAAATGAGGAAAAGGTAAGTCTCTAAAAGTTTGCAAAATGCTTGCTTCTGTTCAGAAAATACTTTTCAACAGGACAAAAGTGCCTTCTGTCTTTAGCATGTCGTAAGAATGGAAAGAAGTTACCAGTCAGTCATGAACAAGAACAAGTTAGACAGGATGACAACTGTGGCCCTTTCATGGGCTTTGTCCCTGTCCTCTTGTGGTTAGCCATTGTCCTGCTCACCTGAGTTATAAAACACTTCTTCCACCTTTTGCTTGAGTCGCTCTTCAAAACCGCCCTCCTGATGCTGTGTAGGTTTCCATCTCTAATATCTTTTTTTAAAAAAATGATTTACTTATTTATTTTTAGTGGAAAGGCAGAGATACAAAGAGGAGGAACAGAGAGGAAGATCTTTCATCTGCTGATTCACTCCTCAAGTGGCTACCATGCCTGGAGCTGCACCAATCCAAAGCCAGGAGCCAGGATCTTCCTCTGGGTCTCATACGTGGGTGAAGGATCCCAAGACTTTGGGCCGTCCTCGGCTGCTTTCCCAGGTCACAGGCAGGGAGCTGGGTGGGAAGCAGGGCCACCAGGATAAGAACCTGTGGCCGTATGGGATCCTGGCACTTGCAAGGCGAGGACTCCAGCCACTTGGCTACCGCACTGGACGCTCCATCTTTAGTGTTTTTAACGAGTTTCACTTTGCACACTGAAATTGTCCATATTAAAGTTCTTTCGTGTGAGACAAGAACTGAGGTTTCTTTCAATCTTTCTTGTGAAAATTTCCACAATAACAGCAGTGAATGATCATTCGGGAAGGTGGGAACACAGACCACAAAGGGCAGCCCCCACAATAGAAAATAACAGTAGGCGGTTTTCTGAAACACTTCTGGGACGCGTCGATAACCTGATGTTTACCATGACCTTGGCTTCTTGGAAAGACCCAACAGGGGAATGAGAGCTTATCTCATTCCAAGTGGAGATCTTGGTTTTCTTTTATAGCTCAGGCTGTGAGCTGAATGAACCAAATTATTTCCTGTAAGTAGAATCAAAAGGCCCTGTTTACCTAAATCTGTTGTTTGCTATT